CCCCGTGCTCCCCATGATAAACTAGACATGATATCCTCTGACTGAAGGAATGTCAACATCTTTTGAAATTTTATTCCATCTTTTGAAATTTGAGGCTCTCACAATTATTGTGCATGTAGGAGATGGATACAGTGAAGCCAGGCGCAGTTTTCGCGGAAGATATCCCCAAAGAAATGGTCTGAAATTTAGACTGGATAAACAAGTCTGACGCGAAAACCCCGGCGGCTTTAGAATAGCGTGCTTTCGTGGACAATAATGTGAAGTAAACAAAATAATTAGTAAGTCAGATATAGAATGTGTCTATAGGCCTCGACATGAAGCGCCATCGTTTTATTTATCCATCTGTTTAACAGAGTGGGGTGTGGGGTGGGGAGGGGGTATTAGAGATTTCGTTCCGCTTTTCGCCTGTTTATTATTGGCCTATTCAGCACCCCTCAAACTAAAAGATCTGTCTTGTTGATAACAATTTAGACGAAGAAACGCAATAAATTATAATATAACCTCTGTCTAATTTAAACCGTTTCTGAAAGAGTTGATTTATGAAGGTTTAATCCGAATTGATAGACCCCTATTCCTTTCTTTTATTTGATTACGCGCCAAAGGTATTGATATGAAGTTTCAAGGATTCTATATAAATCCTTTTTTTTTTCTTCATTCAATTATTTTTCTTTTCTCCTACTTTTTTAATATAGATATTTCTCTCCCCTTCTCCTCTCTCATCTTTTCTTTTGGTCTTGTTTCTCTTTCTTTTCTCCATGTTTCTACCGTCGCCCCCCACCCCTTTAGGCCTAAAATAAAAACTTGTTGCATTGCCCTTTGCGACCTACCCAAAAATCTGAAAATCTACGGTCGGTATTTTAATTTTTTTTTTTTTTAACCGTTTTTTTTTAGATTTTTTTATATTAATGAATACAAAATAATATGTATTTTGTTTGTTTAAATGGGTATAAATGCATAAAATCAAATTATTCCGAAATTCTCACTCCTGCAAACCATAGATAATTATAAGGTGAAAAAGATATCAATGGAATGATCACGCTGAAACACATGTATCAAAGCATTAAAAACTTAGAAATATCAGCCAAAAGAGGGCGGGGAAAAAACGGGAAAAAACACAAAACATTCAAATCGGAAAAAATATCGGCCCAGAGAAGGCGACAAAAAAAAAGTTTAAAAAAATAATAACTTTTCCGACCGACCGACCCATGTTTTGGCACCCAAAGGGCAAAGCAACAAGTTTTTATTTTAGGCCTTATAGATTGACAAAAAAGGGGGATGGTCTAATCGGCCCTGACCTTGATCCGCCACTGATACCTGACGAATATTACTCATAATATCATAATATGGAATCATAATATGTAATTAAAATTTGATATGTTTCTGACTTTCTCTGAGACTTAATGTTGGACATGAAACAATTTTGTTTGTACCGCTGAAATTTGTACCTTTGATTTTTTTTACCCCTGACATTTTTACCTGTGACATTTTTTAACTCTGACATTTTTACCTCTGACATTTTTAACTCAGAAATTTTTACCCCTGACATTTTTACCTGTGACATTTTTAACTCTGATATTTTTAACTCCGACATTTTTACGTGGCACCGAAACAAAATGCTTCCACTTTTCTCGTATCATTTCCGCCTTTAAGATTTTGTCTTCGTTGTCTTCGAGGGTGATATAATATTATCAGGACGGGGATGGAGTGTGGAGTTTTGTGTGGTTGGTCGAAGATGGTGGTGGAGAGTGTCACAATACAGGGTGAAAATATATTATCCATAGTACGGTCAAACCTGCTTTAGCGACCACCTGTATAGAAAAACCACCTGCCTATACAAAGGCCACATTTGTTGTTTCCCTTGAAAAATGGTTTCTCATTGAAACATGTACTAAAGGAATTACCTATACATAAATACCACCTGTCTATAAAGACCACTTTTCTTGTCTCCCTTGGGTGATCTTTATAGACAGGTTTCACCGTATAACCGTTTGACGGGAACGGAAGACGGTTATGTTCGGAAAAGCATCCCCAAAGAGTGAATGAAATATCGTGAAAATTAGTATTCTTTTGGAAACTGTCCAACCTTACAGTATGTTTTGCCAAGTGTATTGATTGATTAATGTATACTTATTTTAATGATTACAAACATAATTGGCCCAAATTCACAAAGGAGGTTTAAATTTTAACCCATGGTTTAACGCGTCATAATTATGACGTCATACCGGCGAACTTAGACCGTGGGTTATCATTTTGCAATTCACGAAGGAGGTTTAGATTTAATCCACGATTTAACGCGTCATAATTATTATGACGTCATATTGTTAGCCTGTTCAGAGGGGTTGTTTAAACTAATTTAACCCACGGTTTAACGCGTCACATGACGTCACACCGGCGAGCTTTAGCTTTCTAGCGCAGACGATCGTACAGATTTTGTTGACAAGTTCATGGTGAAACGAAGTGAAGAGACCTTCACAAAGTTGCTGTTTTTTCAACTGTGATAGCCTACTGTACTCTCTAAGATGATCACATGAAATCATACATATAGGATAAAGGGTTCATCATGCTTGAACTGACGTCCTTGTACGTAAAAACATGTTCTTTATACAATATCATGGAATAGACTGGTGAAGTGTGACGTCATCAACAAATCTATTTTTAGAATTTCTCAATTTTTTCTTCATTTTCCGAAAGAGCATCAAAAATATTGTCCAAATGTCGAAACCAATTGAATATGTTAAGTATTGGCTGAGATATCGGAACTCAGTGTTATATGCTCTGGCCTGAGTTCCCATAGAACATATATTTAGATGGTCATATCTCAGCCAATACTTAACATATTCAATTGGTTTTTGACATTTGGACATTATTTTTGATGCTCTTCGGAAAATGAAGAAAAAAAAAATTGAGAAATTCTAAAAATAGATTTTTATGACGTCACAGCTTCGGTACTCTATAGTGGTTGGTCAACAAAAATATGAAAGAGAGTAAGATATAGGGAAATTGAGTGGAAGGAGTTGCGTTCAGATAGTATCAAGCAGGCGCGGATCCAGGATTTCTTAGGGGAGGGGGCCCAACTTTTTTTTTTTTTTGCTCCCGAAAATTTGAAAATCGTGCCGGCCAAAAAGTCGCTCAGTGGGGGGGGGGGGGGGGGGGGGGGGGGGGGGGGGGGGTAAGCGGACATTTTTTTTTTTTTTTTGTTGGAGTCCCAAAAAAATCGCAACGACTCAGCCAGCCGAAAAGTCGCTCAGTGGGGGGGGGGGGGGGGGGGGGGGGGGGGGGGGGGGGGGGGGTAGAGAGCACAATTTTTTTTTTTTTGGTCCTCGAAAATTTTAAAATTTGCACCCCCCCCCCCCCCATTGAGCGCCAGGGGGAGGGGGCCAACCCCCAAAAAGGTTAAAATCGCGTGATTTTGCATGATTTTTTTTCTCAAGGGGGGGGGGGCCCGAGGGGCCCGGGCCACTGGTCCCTGGATCCGCCACTGGATCCGCCACTGGTATCAAGTGGAACTGTGGAACTATTTATTTAAGTCTGTGGATACCGAACACCCTGATAACATTCTTGGCAACTGAGATTTTCAAACGCTTGTCACATAAAATTTTACCAACACCCATGGCGTTCCCCCTCCCTGTTATTTTGATCAAAATGGAAAACGAGTTGGGAATAAACTTGTCCAAAAGTCGTTAGGACAAAGTCTTGATTATCCTTATCACTGAGTTCAGTGGGCCAAATACTTAATACTTGATAATGATAATGAAAATAAAAAAATATTGACACTGATATGATATCAATTTTTCATTTCAAGGGTAAATGCAACACCAAATTTAAACGCCTACGGACACCTTCAAGGCCAAACGAAGTCTATTCTTGCTATTTCATTAAAGTATACAGAGAATGAGATTGCATTATTAAGTCTGGATTTTGTTAAATAATTATGGCAACGTTTAGTCTGAAAACAGGTTAAAAGCAGGATGCTATACATTAAACAACTTCCTGAAACGTCTAAACAATATACTCCTTTCAATATCATTTCAATATTATAGGCCATAACTATGTACCAGGAATAATTTATCAAGTGGGAAAACTGATACTCGACCACAAGTCTCCGAACGTTTTATCTCGATCCTGTTCACCTTTGTACCTTAATATCTCACTCAGCCAGCATCATATCGTGGTCTGAGTACCCCGTTTACATTCAAAAGTTTATCTAAATTATATCGTAAAAAGTTGTAGCAGGCCTACATCGACATAGTCGATAAGCGAAAATTCTCGAACAAACGATAGGCCTGTTTGACTAAGTTTATGCATACTTGTTTGACACAAGTTTCTCGAGGCAACTAAAAAGCTTGCAAGATGCTTGCCCGACATAACAACAACGAATGTATGCAAAGCGGATTCCACCCATAGAGATGTCATTATGAAATCAAATGAAATAAAATGGCTGGCAACAAGGGGTGATATAGAGAGAGAAACATGCATACATTTAGATACATTAGTAAACATTTCTATTGCAATGACGACTAAACAACAGAAAGAATGATCAATATTTGTCTTTTATTCTTTATCAATAGAATGTAGCCTGTGTTTCAAAACATATAATAGGCCTACCGCATTGAGTGCTGTTTTCAAAAGAATTCTTCGTAACCGCGTCGCGCCGGTGTTATAATTTGATTTTGCGGCCATGCATTCACCTGGTTTTTATCGTAGTGCATGACTTAACATGGCGATATAAATGCACCACTGGCTATTGTTGTGTTATTGTGTATATCATTCTGCTTAAATCGAGTTTTCAAGCTGGGTAACCTTTCATCATTGGATTTGAATGTACAACAAAGACACTATTTTAAGTCTGATATTGCGTTCGGAATTGCACTGCCGATCAACTAAAAATAGGGACATTTGTATATGCGTAAACTGAAAGTGCGAGCAAATCGTTATTCAATTGCGCTTTCGTGAGCTGGTAACTAATAAGTAGTTTCTTTCGAATGTGAATGAGTATGACCGTCTATGAATTACCGAATGCAAAGTCCTTCATGGCGATGTCGAGAGAATCAAAGTGTAAATAGTGAAATACCGCATGCTAATTATTATCGACAGATTCGGTATTAGATTTAGAATCGGCCCTTCAGACGGCATTCGTCTCGCAATTTTCGTTCGACCGGATCGTACAGACTGGGGCAAAGCAGCTAAGTTCGGTATGTATCTCAAAGTTTCTATTTTTATGTAGACCTATTGATTGTTAATGTGTCGTGTTCAAAGAGTTTTAACAAGCTAGTGACCCTGATAAATACAACTGAATCGTGTTGATTCATGTTGTAGAATTTATAATCATGTTTCATGTTTTATGACATGATTCATATATTCAGCGTTACAGCGTTCAGATTAATACGACTTGTATGAATGTCATTTTCACATAAATTGAATGAGGGTCTCTTAATTTGGTTTTACAGGTGGATAAGTATGGAGTGTAAAATAGGGGGTAAAACGGTCTGGTGTAAAGTGGTATTAAAGGTTATCTCATCCCAAGAAATAACTTCACTTATTCTGAGAGCTTTATTATATTCTTTCCCATTAATCTACAAGATTCTCCACCAAAATGTATGAGAGAGGCATATTGATAAAGTAAGAATAATGTACAGTTTCTCAGCACGAAATGGGCACCATCATTTTCTTGATGACGTACTATGTGAAGTCGTTTATCAAGTAAATGTGTTCAAATTCATGGGCGCTTCCTTCCCAGGTGTTTGTGGGGTTAAAGCATGTCATTCACCTGCTATTATCCTTTGTACTACAATTGCCAGAACGCAAATTGCATAAATAAGTTGGTGCTCTTCTGGGGTGAAGGTTTGTCATAAATGAAATAGATTTTTCAACTGCCATATCTTAGGATTTTTTAAATGAATTAGTTACAATAATATTGTTCCCCTGTTTTATATCTTTCACCAAACATAATTTCTATCTTCTTAGCTATGATTTTCCCCCATTGAAAAGTTAATTTTTTGTTATTGATTTAAAAACGTCTTTCCAACTTAAGCTTATATTCGGTGCATGATACATGTACAACTTCAACTGGTACGTCATATTTTCAAATGTCATGCTAAAAGGCATCACATTATGTCAAGAATATCTTCTTTTATAAATTATATAAATATCTTGTACATTTTTGGGGAGGGGGGGGGGGGGGGTTTCAGGGGTGCACTTTTCCGGGGGAATTTTCCGAGGGGTTATTGCCCATAGAGCTAGTTTTCTGGGGGTGATTGTCCTGGCGGTAATTGTTCTGATACGTCTAATTCTTTGTCTACCTTTTTTAAACAAAGTTTCTCTGTACAACTAAAATGCTTGCCAGAATCTTGCCCAACATAGCAAAGTGGATTCTAATCATAGAGATGACATTACTCATAGCAGGTGAAAACAATGGATGGAACATAAGGGTTACAGGGAGAGAAACAAGCATAGATTGAAATACATTGGTGAAAAGGTATATAGAATTAAAATGTGTATGCTAAGAATTTTATTGACATAGCCTCTGGTGATTGATATTTTAGACTGTCTATAATCAGAAATTGATAATCGAAATTGTTCGTTTACTATACCATTTCATGACAGCAAGTGAATGAATTGCAAAGTCTTATTTTTGACAAAGAAAAGATTATCACTGTTTTAAAATGAGTGTGGTAATACATTATGAAGAATGGTGTTTGTCCCTTTTTTAACACCATGCAGTTACACTTCCAACTCAGAATGGACTCCAATTCAGAACACCAATTAGGTGGGCAACCACCATCATCATCATCACCACCATCAACAACAATACCACAAGCACAGGCCCAAACATCATCACCTGCATCAGTACCTCAATACAAACCAGAAGTACCTCCTCGACCACCACGATCATCATCACCATTACCACCATCACCATCACCACCATCACCATCACCATCACCACCACCACCTCCATCATCATCATCATCGCCAGCACCGCAGACCGAATCTTCACCTGCAACACCACCACCTCCACAAAGCAAGCCTTCATCACCACCACCACCACCACCAACAAAAGCATCACCACCACCACCCCCACAAAGCAAGCCTTCATCACCACCCCCACCACCACCAACAAAAGCATCATCACCACCACCACTGTCACCATCACCATCACTACCGTCATCACCACCACCACCATCATCAACATCATCATCATCGTCTGCCTCAGAACCCGATTTGACGGGACCATGGATGGAAGTCATTATCAAGCTCCAATATATCGCCATCATCACGCACTGGACGTTGGTGTTTGGACCCATCGTCTTCATCAAGATACTGATGCTTGCCGCCCTCGCCTACTTTGCCTACATCGTCCTCGCTACCAAACGACCCATGGCGTCTCTACCCAAGATGTTTCAAGATGAAAAGGTGAGAGAAAAGACATTTAGTGATACCTAGCTGGGTCAATACCGAATTCAGCTAGCATACTGTTTCCTCCCAACGATTTGTTTCTAACACTACTACTAATTTGATGTGGCAATGCAAAGAGAAGGTGTCACAAATCTCTGATACCCCCCCCCCCCCCCGAGCCATGATAAGGTCTCAATATATCTGATATAAATTATAAATAATAAAGTATAATAATTTGTGCAATGATGGAGGTGGTGGTGTTGGGAGAGAGAGAGGGGGGGGGGGGGCGGTACACACAGATGTCTTCAAAAATGACGTAATGTTTATGTTGCAATGTATATGATCATGATATTTTTTTCTTCAATATTTGAGCATGGGAGGGGATCACAAAAATATATAAATATGACCCCTCCCCCCCCCAAAAAAAAAAAAAAAAAAAAAACGATATGAAAAAAAAACATAGGTCTCAAAATCGCTCATGAGCCCCTCCCCCACCATTTAAAAGAAGTTGTAAGTGGTGATGTGATTGTGATGGGGTACACATGAATTTTTAAAGTGCATTTTTTTTTTTGGGGGGGGGGGGCACTTGACCCCTGTGCCCCTCTCTCGGATAAGTCAAACCATAGGCAACAAAGAAAAACTTTTTGTTTATAATCAGTCTAATTGCTCAATCTCAATCTATAGACGAGTTGGTTCCCCTTTTTGAGGAACACACCAAACAGTCTGAGTTCAATGAAGACATGTGTGTATTTTCACTGTGAATTTAATTTAATTCAACTGACACAAATTTGACAAAAGCAGTTCATTAAAGTGTATGCATGGTATATCAACTATCAATTGGTCAACCTAGATATGTCATTTATTCATTCAGAGGTACAAATGAAATCTGTATTTGAACAGAAATAGAGAACATTTCTTTGAAATCAATATCTCATATGATCAATATTTCAGCAGCTAATATGGTGATGAGAATATACTCCACTTTCAATATAATGAAAATTAAAAATATATATATTTTAGCACATGTTTCTGCATTTATCAAAAAGTCAAATAAAAAATATTAAATAACTGTAACAGTATATAATATAATTGATTTAATGATATAATTGATTTTGCGTAAAATGTGTCAACTGAAAAACAAAAAAACAACCAATACAAATATATAATTGACAACTTGAAAGTATGGAGGTCAATCAAAGAATCGAGATAGATGCAGAGGCCAACTATCATTGGGGCATACATTGAAGCAAATATTACCCCATGATTTATAATCAACCATACATTGCTTAGTGGATATCCATTATTTATTATTCTGAATACAAATGTACCTCCCAGAAGTGGAAATGTTGAAAAGATATGGAGACAGATCTATAATGTCCAATATTATTGATATATCAGTTGGTAATGTGATGAGAATATTCTCCACTTTGGGCGATTATTATAAACAAATATCTTTTGGTTTGGGACATATTAAAATGGAGCGAGGATAACTCCATAATATATAAGTCAATCATACAATGCTGAAATTAGATACATCATGTATTCAATTGCAAATACAAATTGACTTTCCCAGAAGTACAAATGTAATGTTGAAAAGAAAAGGAGGACAGATCTTTTAAATATATATCCCATGTGATATGTCAACTGGTAATGTGATGAGAATATACTTCACTTTTGGTAATAAAGAATAAATAAGAGAAAATTTTCAGTTTAAGGGGAAATTGAAGCAAGGTTTCTTTCATTAATTATATATTTTTTTGTCCATGATCACATACATCTCAATTTCTAAGCTGAGCTTTTTTGTAATAGCCATCATTGCCATTAGTAGCTATTGATACAAACCATGTACAATCCCCCTACAGGGTCTCATATATGTGTTGTAGAACTTCCTTACATGTTATAGTAGACGAAGTAGGAAGTAAAGTAGAGACGAGTAGAGATACAGTAATATCAAGACACTGCCTGTAAGAGTCAAATAAGGGAAGTTTGAAAGAAGAAAATTACCCCCCCCCCCCCCCAAAAAAAAAAAAAAAAAAAAAAATGTTCTCACATCAATCACAACTATTTCTTTCAAAATTGGAAAAAGTTTGAATGAGGAAGAATACCCCAAGGAAAATTGTCCATGGACATTTACCCTTAGGACGGCTCCCCCTTAAAACAAGTTCCCTAGACAATTGCTCCCTTCAAATGTGTACCAGTTACCCTCTGACAACCATCAAGAGGGCAAGTAAAAGAAAAGGGGTAAAAGTCTGAGTGGTAAACTTTACCAGAAGCTTTCTCTAGATTCTAGAATGAGGGATGGTAGAGGGGGGGGGGGGGGGGGGAGGGGTGGAGATGGTATTGGGGTGAATTTGAACCCTCATTTTCTTCAATACTTTTACAATCCACAGGGTGCTAAGAAGGCCCACTACGACGTCGCCATCGTAGGAGCTGGACCCGCCGGGTCTACTCTGGCCTACTACCTTGCCAAGTCTGGCCGCAAGGTCCTGCTCCTCGAGAAGAAGAAGTTCCCGAGGGACAAATACTGCGGCGATGCGGTCTGCAAGACTGCGGTAGAGATCCTGATGGATATGGGTATCTACGAGGATCTTATCAACCAGAAGAAAGCTCATGTGGTAAAAAGAGATATTGATATTTAAATAAATATTGACAAGGGGGGTGTTTCACAAAGATCCTAAGTCGAAGTTAACTCTAAGTTGGACTTAAAAATTACGGAGAGCCATCAAAGACGCTAATGGCTTTCCATAATTTTTAAGTCCAACTTAGAGATAAGTTCAACTTAGGATCTTTGTAAAACATCCCCCCTGGACAATTATAATTGATAGTGGAACGAGCCTGCAGGGATGTGAAGAGGCTAAGAACTCATGAATGTTATTAAACTTGATGCACACTTTCATTTACTAACACTGGTTCTACTCATGTGTTCTGAAGCTATCCCCTAAATCTAACATTTTCATGCAGTTATGATTCTCACATTCGAAATACACAGTTGCCCATAGACTTGGGATATATATATTTTTTTACATCTTCTCATGAAGTGATTGTGACGATATGCTTTATATGTGATAGATTTAGATTATATCCTTTCAGAACTTTATTGGCCAATCAATACATAGTCATAGAAATTGATCAATGAAGTTATGAGAAGATACAGATATAAACTTTATCAAGAATACTCATAATTGTCACAATCACTTCATGAAAAGAGGTTAGGAAAAACATTATTCCAGCTTTATGGGAAACGGTGCACAATGATATATATTTGTTGGTTTGTTTGCATATCAAAAGACTGTTTTTGACAATCTTTAACAAGAATTGTCTGTAAGCATTCAGGGGCAAAATGCTTCATTTCTTCATATTTTAGATGATAACTGTTTAATAGCATATTGTCATCATGGCAAAATATCTGATATTAAACTGGTGAGTTAAAGTTATGACAATCATAAATATGATCACACTTATTTATAGCTTAATACTAAAGCTTATCAGCATGCTATTTAAAAAATCTTTGGATTAAATATTAAACTTCTATGGGTCCATTTATTTTTGTCAAATTGTTAATTTAATTGACAAAGTTCTCAAAGGTCATTTTGGGGAATATATTTGTTGGTCTGTTTGCATATCAAAAGACTGCTTGTGACAATCTTCAACAAGAAGCACACAATTCTTTACATGAATTAATTTGTGCGTGCCTTTGAAATGATTTCCTAATATAATATAATTTGGCTTAAAAAGCGTTTAAACAGTGAAAAGAAGAACCAAACATTTTGTATTGTACGATAATTTCTATAAAGCAATTTATGTGCTTTTCATGATTCTTCAACTTCAGATATTTCATTATTATGTTTGTGTATTGAATATTATATGAGATTTTTTTAATTTTGACATGGAAATAAATAAAATTAAATAAAATTAAATAATTATTTCCCAACAGGCAGACAGCGGAGGTCTGGTCAGTCCAGGTGGGCTGAGTTACATAGGGGAGAGTCTCGAGATCATGGGAGATGTCCCAGCAGCCATTGCGTGTAAGAGACTCCATCTAGACAACGCTATCGCCATGGCAGCCAAAAAGTAAGTTCAGTCACTGTTCACTATTAAAGCAAAGTAAATAAATATGAACTGATGATATGATATAAATATTTGTTTTATTTTACCTATAGATGTATTTAGAGTTTGTTTCTAAAATTGTTTTATAATTTGAAAAAAAGTATTATTTTTATGAGATCATTTCTGAAATGTAAAAACATCCCATCATGCATAAATTATTACTTTTTTTTTATAAAAAAGGATAGGTGTATGATGTAAGCACATTGAAATATTGTAGGTTTTGTCTTATTATTAACTTACAACTTGTAGAGAGGTATATATTTATACAAAGAAATGATGGATGGATTAGATGGACAAATTTCCTTATATATTCAAGATTCAGAGTTGAAGAAAAGAGTTGAAATCATTATTTTGTAACAGGTTCTAATTGGGTTGGAGGCCCTTGGAGTAACATTTTGGTAGGGCATATATTATCCTTGATTATGAAGTCCCTCTGATAGGACCTAAAGCTACAGGTCTCCTGGTTGCTTATCTTTAGGAATATATTAGCTTATTTAATGTCAGGAAAAAAATACAGATTAGCATCAATAGTATTACACATTACTTAAACTGAACACTTCCACATCTTCCTAAGATAGCTGTACTGTATTTGTTATGCACAGAGCTGTAAATGTCCCAAGTGACTACAACATTACTGTAGATTTATGGCGGCAATATCACACCGAGAGTGGGTGACGCGACCCTAGAGCAAGTCACCCTTTTTAGTAGGTCTGCTAGTGAAATTGACACGTAGATCCTGATTGAGGAGAAGGCGCGATAGCTCAGTCTGTAGAGCAGTGGTCTCGGAATCCGGCGACCCAGTTTCGAAACCCAGTCAATGTGCTAGTGCCCTTTCGTATGGCATTAATCCTCATTACCAGGTCCCTCGGAGAGGACCTTAAGCCGTCGGCCGTCTGGTTGCTGACTTAAAGGCATATGCTTTCTTAGCAGTCAGATAAAATAACCACCACCACCATATATTTATTCCCTCGCCCACCAGAGCTGGGGCGGATTTGAAGGAGAACAGCTCCGTGTCTGCTGCCACGCTCGATAAATCAACGGGACTGTGGACTCTGTTCCTGGAGGGTGGGGTGCAGCAGACGTACCAGGCCCGCGTTCTGGCGTGCTGCGACGGCGCCCCATCCGCCCTGGCCACCAAGCTGGGGATCGTCCGTACCCCGCCCCAGGGGTCGTGTTCCAGGGCCTACGTGGAGCCGGGGACACACAAGTTCAAAGCCGACGGGGTGGTGATTTACAACAAAGACATGCTTCCAGGTAATGACATTGCTGCTGATGTTCGCATAAATTTATTTCATGAATACAGTGCACTGAAAAGCAATTAGGTACATGTGCACAATGAATGTAATATGTACTAAAAGAGGTAAAATAAAGAACATTCTCGCCCATGTATATTGTTTTCAGAGATCACATATTATTTAAACAATGTAGCAATATAAGAAAAATGTAATTATTGCCAATATGAAACACAATATGTGATCAATTTAGCCCTATAAATTCTGTCCCAAAAGGGTTTTCTTATTGTATACGGTTGGGTAAAAGGTTGGGTCTTTTATCGTATGAGGTACATCATATAGGTACAAACATGTATATATTATGCAGTAGAGTGGTAAAACTCAAGTCGAAAAAATAGTTTGGTAGTTTGTAATATTCTTTTATCGTAAAATAATTTCTACAATTTATCTTCCAGGCTATTCTGCCCTATTCCGCCATCCCAACGATGAGCTGAATTACTGCGTGTACATCATCCCTGGTAATCCTCAGGTTGGCAACGATGACCTGCCCTATTGGCATGACAACATCATGAAGAATGACCCCTATGTCAGCAGGGCACTGGGTGACAAGGCCAAGGTTGAAAGGATGAAAGTCGGTTGGTATAAGTCATTTGGATCTTGTATATAATTGTTATAATGACTTTTAACTCTTGAAGGAGGACAAAAAATTCACAACCAAGCTTATTCATATAGCCTTTTTATTGCTTTGATGAAGTGATTTATTAGTACAAAATCCATAATTGTGATATCATAAAGTAATAATTACTTGGCTCTTGAAACACAAATTAAAGCATTAAAAGATATTTTGAGGATCATCTTATCACATACTCTAGTAGATATATGTCTAGTCCCCTTTTTTCTGGTAGGTCTGAAAATCGTATGGTTGAAATATATTTGCCATTTCAAATGTTTGTTACAGTTGCATATCCATTTTTTTCCATTTTATTGACATTTCTTGCAAATTATAAATCATTTAAGTCTCAGACAAGTCATTTAATCATTTGACAGATGTACTTTAGGTTTACTGCTCCAACTAAGAAGAGACAAAAAAACAAAACAAACAAACAAGCAAAAAGTTAGATAAGAAACTGCTGGAATTATTAGGATAAAACCTAAAAAAAAGACATTGGGATAAAAAATACGATCTAGCCAAGCGTTGGTAAAACATACTTTGAATCTGTGAAGTATTGAAATACACTTTGATAGGGAGAAAATGTAAACCATGTCGTTCCAAGAAGTATCCAGCTGGTTGATCTAGATATCGTGTTTATCTCCATATAATAATGTAAAGTAAGCTTGTGGTAAATTTTGTTGCTGGTATGTGTGAAACGTTTTTATCATCTCATATTACAGCTAGTCTCCGTTTTGGTGGTGTACCCCGTTCCTATGGCAACCAGGTTATCCTTGTCGGAGATTCAGCTGGTATGATTGACCCTATGACAGGTACGTATCTTTATTCAAATGTGAATGTTTTATAGGATAACACACAGTCACAACCATTCTAGTGATAAATTTTTGGCTGCTCTGTCTCGTATTTAGTGATGCTGTTTTCAGATTTGTTTTTCCCTCTCTCTCACACACCCTCTTTCTGATGCTTATTCAAATTCTTCACATCTCTTTTTTAATCTATGTTTCTTTTCTTTTCTTTTTCTTGATTTCTCTCTTTCTTTATCTCTTTCCCTCTTTCTGCTACTTATTTAAATTATTCATATCTCTTTTTTAATCTCTTTTTCTTTTCTTTTTTTTATTTTTTTATTTCTATCTTGTGCCATCTCTCTCCTCACTTTCTTACCCATCTTTCTCTTTCTCTGTCCTTGTTCCCTCTGTCTTCCTTTTTTCTCTCCTTACTCTTCTCTGTCTATTTGTCTTTCTCTTTCTGTCTCTTTCTGTCTCTCACTGTCTCTCTATCTTTCTCTGTCTCTTCCTGTGATAATAACCCTATCCCTAATCCTAAGGTTAGCCCCTCTCTTTAAATAGGCTTTAACGCAGAAGCAAAAGTATGAATTATAATTAGTGCACGTTGCGCTCATTTACAAAAAAAAATGCTTTTCTAGCACCGGATATTTTCAAGGTCAATCTTTACTGTCGGTCCTCTAAAATAACAAGAAATACTCTTTCCTGATAAGAGACAGATCCTCTGAAGTTCCATTATATATATCATACAAGGGCATGATTTTTATATTCGTGAAATGATTTTTGTCCTATTTCATAATCCATTAATGATATTCCATAGGGGAGGGCATTCATCTTGCCATGGACGGCGGTCGCTTAGCAGCAGGCTTCTTGGAAGAGGTCCTCACTCATGGGAACGTATCCAGGGAGGCAATGGAGATGTATCATGAGCGCTGGATGGACAAGTTCGGAAACGATTTCGCATGGTAAAGCATGATGTTACCATGTTGAATGGTTGAATATATGAATTTTTCGATAGGCCTGTTTTCATCAGCTCAAGATTGCCAAATAACCCGCTATTTCAACTATCCAGATCGCAAATTATTCTGCTAATTTGCGTCTTCATCAGCCCGCAGTTCCAATTAGCAGGATATTTGGTCGAGATAATCATCCCAAGAAAACTTGGGCTAGTTTAAAAAATATCCTGCTATTTGTCCGGTGCGTTTTCACCAGCCCGAATACGCGCACTATGTGCAAACGCTGAGCAAAATATCTCAAGCTCGAGCTTATATGAAGACGCGATTTGTAACTTCGGGCTTATTTCCCAAATCAGAAATAGCGGGCTATTTGGAAATCTTGAGCTGATGAAGACATACCTATTGTGATGTGCAAACTTAATTGATTCAATAAATAATGCATGCTCATGTAGCTGTTGTTGGCAGTGCATGTAATGAGTGTGATTTGTGATTGTGAGAATCTGATTGCAAAGGAGTAAGAGATCCTTCATGAAAGAAAGGAAATTAGAGAAAGATAACAAGCATAAGAGACTGATGGTGATAAAAAAAGAATGTGAAATACATGGATGAATGGAAGGGGAAGACTGAAAGAATCAGGGACAGAATGAAGAAAGGATATGACAGGCAGAGAGAGAGAGAGAGAGAGAGAGGGGGGGGGGGGGGGAATTGCCACAGTTGCCACTGCTGCATGTTGATTGGAGGGGTTAGTTAAGCATGATCTAAAAAGTTGAAAAAGAGAGGCCTGCATGCTTTATAGTCACCTAGCTAAAGAGTTAACAAAAAAGAATTTCCTGAAAAAAAATAAGTTGATGGTTCAACCTTCCTTCTTTTAGATGTAGGAGAGGAACATATTATATCTGTGCTGCTAATTATTAGCCATCAGTAATCCACCATTTTGTTCAGGTTCAATTTAGGGTTAGGGTTAGGTTTCATGTTGGGACCCGAGTTAAAGTTACCAAAAGAAAGACTTGACTTAAATGTTGGAAATTGAGTGCAGAGTAAATTTTGCTAGAGCATACATGTGTCGTACAATCATGATACACACTTGCCCTGATACATGTATACTGAAAAAGTTGTAATGAACAGGGAACACGATATTAACATGTTAGAACCTGTTACGTGATAACCTTTGCTCTGTTTTCCCCCTTAGGTCGTCACGTATCAGTTACCTCCAGTACAAGTTCCCCATTCTCATAGATGCCGCTACAGCAGCGATCCAACGCAAAGGTGATACATTGTGCTGTCTCAACGATCTTGTGTGTAGTTATCCACTACAGTTATATGAACTGGAAAGATCAAATTATTCATATAAGCATCTCTTAGTTACTTATACGCTTTGATTTTCTGCAGACAAAATTAATTACATTGTTTGTATTAGATAACATGTAGAATCCTTATCGATCAAAGGTCCTTCTACAGACTAATTTGAAAGCAGGCGGTCGATAGCAGATGTAATGTATGATGTCTTGGTCTCTGCATTATCTCTGCAAACACCCTTTTGCTCAAAATGATCAAATGCAATGGGATAGAATTATATTTTGGTAGTTATTATCAATGAACTTGAAATGGAGAATTAGAGTTAAAAGAATCAGTAAAAAAGGATTTACTTATTTGAATAAATCTGCAGTCACTCTGAAGGGAAAATACCCCAATGGCCATGATTTTGTCAGGTATTTGTCGGTTTAAGTCGGTCTAGCGATTAGACCAATTAGACTGGGGGATTTATATCAACTGAATATCGACAAGCAAGTCTTTCATAGTGATGCCTATACGCATATATCATAATAGTCTTTAAAAAAATACACATATCTTTAACTAATATATACTCAGTAATATAAATTATGATATTCAGAGGAACTTTTTTACACAAGGCCACCATGGGCTCTTTCTTTGTTTTCCTATTTCATTTGAAGTTATCGTATAAGCTAAACATTCTCTTCCTTAGTATGTACATATACTTGCTTTTGCTGTGTTTTTTTATAAAAATGAAATGAATAAACAAACGAATGAACATAAATAGATAATCTTCATCAATATTATTCCTTTTCAGGTGATGCTTTCATGGCTAAATGGGCGGACATCATGACAGGTCGGGTGCCAAAGGTCAACCTTCTCTTGCCGGACTTCGTCATCGTCGTCGGGTACGAGCTCGCCGCCATCCAGTTTCGACGGTTGCATGGCTTTGCATCGGAACGGTTGCGCGGCTTTGCATCGAGACTAAAAAGCGAGGAGGAGGAGGAGGAGAATGCAAAACAAAAGGAGGAGTGAAAAACACAAAGATGAAAGTCAAAGGAAGATACCTTTGGATAGTTTTGAATTATCTTAAGAAGGATGTGTAATTAAATCACAAAGGAAAGAATGAGATGTCCAAGGAAGGTACACTAGGTATATCTTCATCAGCTCGAGATTGCCAAATAACCTGCTATTTTTTATTTCTGATTTGGGAAATAAGCCCAAAATTTACAAATAACGTCCTCATCAGCTCGAGACTTCAGACAAATAGCAGGATAATTTACAAACTATCCCAAAATATCTTTGGATGATTATCTCGACCAAATATCCCGCTAATTGCAACTGAGGGCTGATGAAGATGCAAATTAGCTGGATAATTTGCGATCGGGATAGTTAAAATAGCAGGTTATTTGGCAATCTCGAGCTGATGAGGACAGGCCTTTTGTAATGTTTTGGGCAATCATTGAATGAGTAACTGCTACTAGATATTGTCTGTTTGGAGCCAGAAGGGCATTAACTCATATCAATTTACAACAACTTAAGTCCCCTGTGGCGTGTATGTGTGTCATTAGGTTTTTACAGACGTGCATCAATCAGATGCTTTGCTCCAAACAAACGACATTTTATATATCGAGAGGAAAGAGAAGAAAAATGAATGCAGTACGAAAAAAATAAGTCGCAAAGTATTAGCTTAAATAGTTTAGGATATAAGACGGGTGGAAAACCACAAAGGAAAGTATATATGATAGTGGGATATAAATTATTATGATAGGTTGGAATGATCACTGAACTTGTATTTGGAGCAAGACATATTGGAATAAAGCAGAGAAAGGATATATTTTTGAAAGTTGAATTTATTAAATTGAGCAAAGGGATATAGTAAAACGAGAGTACGTAAGAAAGTTTGAAAAAAGGACCAAGTAAGAAAGATAACAGAATGTCATGGGATGGTTTAGAAATCATGGAATATGTACGATTTGTTACAAATTATAAATTTATATTAGGAGAATATTTTACAAAGTGGATGGCTTATATACGTTTTGATGCAGAGAATTTGACAGTAATCCAGCTAAGTTTATAAATATCTTATACCCTTTTCACATCTATTTTTCTTAACCCCATACTATCCTTAACCCCATACTATTTTTTTTGCTGTTCACATCTATTTTCTTAACCCCGGACTATGTGCTTAGCCGGGGTTAAGAAATTTCACGCGATTCACACTACGTTCGCCTTAGCCCCGGACTATTCGATAGCTCATGAATATTAATGCTTTTGCTACCGCGCAAAGCGTTTTCCCTTTATTATTTTACCGATACAAATCAATTACCCATTTTTCATCCAATTCACTTGATAAATTTACCTACGTAAATATGACTGATAATGATAAATGCAATAAAAAATTATGAGCTACATGTTCTTTCACTATTTTTTTTAATCAATTTTATAATAAAGATTTTTTCATAATGACCTCTGCCTCGTAAAAGACTAAACGTCAATACAGAGAGCATGCATGCGTAACGTGAACTGCATGCATAGCGCGCGATAAATGCAAATTCACGACCACACGACCACGCTGTCTGTGATTGGCTGTTGCTTAGCCCCGCTTCTCCTTAGCCCGGTTCGGATTCACACTACGCAGCTTAGCACCACAATTGCCCGGCTAACCCCGCAATTGCCCGGCTAACCCTGCTATTTTGCAGGGCCAGATAGTCCCGTACTATTTGTGGGGTTAGCCCACTTTGGCAAAACGTAATGTGAACAGAAAGCCGGCTAAAATTACCCCGGGTAATTGGTGGGGCTAAGGAAGGAATTGGTGGGGCTAAGAGCCCCCTTAGCCCCACCTATTTCCCGGGGTTAAGCAATATTTGGTAGATGTGAAAAGGGTATTACAATACTGGACAGTTGTATAAATGGGGATACATACGTGGAGGGGACACTGATGTTATGGAGACAGGGAGCGGTGTGGAAGGGGGGGGGGGAGAGGGGTGGAGGGTTGTTGTTGTTGGTAGTAGTTTTATGGCGTTCATTCAGTACTGAATATATACGCCATATCTTCAGTTATATAAGAAAAATCAGTTATCCGTAAAGTAAACTGAAAATAAAAAATTGTAAACAAGTAATTAATTAAGGCCAGTATCGCAATTTATTTGAAGTCTCTAGATGGTTTACAACTTTGTATTTCTGCTTTTTTATACATATCGACATGAGCGCCATTTTAATTTACGAGTAAACAATTTTGTTTTACTCGTAAATTAGAATGGCGCTGATGTCAGCGCATGCTTGTAACCGTGAAAGGGTGTATTCTTTTTATATTAAACCCCCTCCCTCTCTCTCTCTCCCCCTTATCTTGCTCTGTTTTCTCTTTCTCCCTTTCAAAATGTGCCATAATATTTTTTCTGTCTTCTCATAAAACAATTATTTTGAAATGTATATGATTGTACAAACTTCTTTAAACATTCCAAATGAGTTTTTTTAACTTTGTAACCTAATCAGTACTATGCAAATGTCTTATAAAATGAAATAAAACAAAGAATTACCAATTTTTTTTATGTCAACCACAACAGCATTTATTCAATCATTGTGGCATATTGTCTTGTGTGTAGTAGCACAAGAGATTTGAGTATACTTAGAAAACACTTTACATTGTTATTATCTAATACAAACAATCTCAATTTATATATATATATATATATACTTGTAATAGCAATAAATAATGTTAATAATTCAATTAGTTGGCCTTCCTGTGAAAAAGCAATACAGGAATACAATTTTTAGAAATATAATAACTCATCAAAACAACAGATGTAGTAATAACAAAAGGCAAGCCCATAGTATACATTTTGTAGACAATGTTCCTACAAACAGCAGCTGGAATACATAAACCGAGGTGGGATGAATAAAGACACATGTGAAGATGAATTAAAGATCATCACAATTAAAAGATCATCACAAAAATATTAATCTTTTTTAAAATAACGAGTACAGCTAAGTCCTAGATTTCTCCCCTACACATACATTCGAAAGATAGCACATTCCATTTTCATACCGATAACAAGAGATATTTCAGAAAAGAAGCTAAAGAAAGATTAGTTATTTGAAATAGTATTTCATTTCATTTCATGCAAGACATAATGAATAGGAATAGCTCAATGAAATAGCATAAAATGGCAATTTAACTGGGCACCATAATTAAATGTGCAATATGATCGAGTAGAATACATATGATTGGATCTCCCTTAGTCTCTGTATGAATTGGGTGAATTATCTGAATACAAGTTGCTCTTTCAAAACTAAATTTCAATGCAATTTCATCGATAACAACCAAGTCTAAGATAACAGTCAATGTTGAACTGACTCAAAACCATACAGGGGTGAAATTTGTTCATGCAAACGTGAAATCCAATATTATATTGAATTCTACCTTTTTCTAACTATGATCATTCCCCCACACCCCTGCCCACTATCTCTGCTAATTTATTAACCTTTCATCTCAATGGTAACTATCGCATATTTTTCATTCTTTGGACTACTTCTAGTAATAAATGAACCAATGACAAAAATAACGAGTACAATTACCATACTTTAAAAACATATCATACATGAATAAGCGTAACTTGTGGTCTGCAAATTATCAGTGCACTTTAAATAATGTTTGGACGGAGAATACAAGCAACAGAATAGACCATTACCACACACAGAATTGCTCCAAGTACCAGCAAAAAACAAACAAACCCATTATTAGAAATTACAAATTATCTCAACCAAACATAAGCCTACTTTGAAAATTCATGAGGAAATTGTAATACTGTACTTTCATTCAGACTGACGTGACTTTAAAAAATAAAATGTATTTGGATGACTTAATTGAACGGATGTTTAAAAAGTAAAATGGCGATTAAAAGAAGGAAAATATTGCAGAATATAAAAATTCTCAATTTTGGAAGTGCATGGTGATCTATTGAGAATTAGTAACATTTGACCAATTTAGTTATATTAGCAGATAATTGCATACATGCCAACATTTGAAAATCAGAAATCTGTACAAATTATGCTATTTAAAAAAAAAGAGGAACAATCCTATTAAACTCTCCTATTCAATACTACGGACAAATTTGTACAGGAAGAGGAACACCTGCATTAAAATGATAATTATCTTCTCCCAAAAAGAGGAATGTTCCTCTTTAATCTGAACAGTTGGCATGTATGTAATTGTTTGGAAACAGTGACTACAGACCTCACTTTATGTTGAAAAATTCCTCTTTCAAAGTTATATCTTGAAATGATAAAATCTGATATTCAAGCTCATAAATTTGTTATCCGTCTGAGTTAAATATTTCCATTTAATTACGCCTTGATTTTGGATCTGTTGGCAGTTTACCCAAAGTGAGTTATGATTTTTATTTTGTTTATAGGCATATTAATTCTGATATTGTTTGTTTATTTCAAAAACCAAGCTATAAGAATATGAAATTAGCCCTCTAATATAAAACGCAACACAATAAAATTGAAAGCACAAACAGAGAATAAAAGTTTTTAAAATAGGAACTACACGGCCTTAAATAGTGAATTAAAAACATAAATAGAATGCTCTTTAGCATTGCATCATCAATGTACATACACCTTGCTTCTAAATTTAAATGTCAGCAATGCAGTAAAAATTTGGTTTAAAAATGAGCAACATTTCATATATATATATACATATGTACAGTATTAATAAAGTATATACATCAGGTGATATAAATTTTGCACACTCATAATACATCATTAAATTTGAATTTCTAGCATAACATTTGAAATGTCATAGTTTGTGGAAGCATTGAATGGAATTGAATACTAGAATACACCTATAAATATATTGTGACCGCAAGTTGAGGTTACAAAAGCGAACAGGGGAATACATTTGCAAAAATAGCAGATATTAGAATATAAAAATCGTGTCTCTGTAGGAGGCAGAGTATAAATATTATTACTGTTAAAAATTACAGTAAAATCAAGCAAAACAAAGTGGAATGCCATAAATGGAAATTATCATCACATAGGCACTTGGAAATCTAATCAAATTATTTCCAAATAAGGAATCCTCCATGGCCGACCAGAAGGCCCTGTAAACTCAATGAAACAAGTACTATTTATTTGTAGAGTGCAAGCTACCTGGAAAGCCTATTACAAGTTGTATGAAAATTAAGAAATTATTTAAGCAATTAGTAGCGTGGCTTTTGCTTATTTTTGATTAGGTAATAAACAGTCTGTTGAGAGCCTGAAGGGCTGTTATAATTTTACAAAGAGTTAAGACCCTTCTGGATCATAAAAAATAATTCACTCCGTACTCTTCTTTCATTATCTCTATTTTTGTTATTTCCCAATTATTTTTACTCTTTTTTTCCAGATCTCTCTCTGTCATTTGAATACAAAATTAATAAATGCATAAAAATGTGAGTGTGTGCATTACCTGTAGGGACTTATAGAAAGATCCCTGCGTCACTAAAAAAAGTGCATTCTATTTCAGCAAATTCTGATTCTTTTCCTGTTATGGTGTATACCAAACCAATCCACTTTACTTTACCATGAGTTGCACATTACAGTTTCCTTTAAAAAAGGAAAGGATTTCTAAAAATGAGAGTCATACCAACTGAAAACATCATCCTTAGAAATCATAGTTACCCAACAGTACAAGAGTCTTCATGATAACCAATTGGAAAGATACAAGTGTAACCTTTGTTAAAAATAACAGCAAATCATGGAATTATGTTATTTAGCACTTGGTTTATCTTTGTGGGTTCTGTCTTTGGTCATGTCGGTGGGCATGTACATTTGTACAAATTTGTATAATAGCCATGTGCCGAATTGATTCACCAATATACTTCACCATAATTTAACAGATCTAAAGTATTCACATAAATGTGTTTCACTTCATCACATTCTCCCCATCTGTTATTGTTCATTTCCTAACCGACAACAGTTGCCACACACCTTTTTGATAAATTAGGGCTAAAACTTCCTCTTCCAATTTTATTACATCTATTAAAGAACGCAATAATGATTACTTCAACACCTACTCATACTGTTTAGTATATGAGTGGATAATAATTTTTTTGTGAAGTGACTCTTGTTGCTGAGTACTTCTGGCAACTGTTTCTTGGTTTAGAGTTGTTTTGGAGCATGTGTCGGAACAAAATCTAACAAGAATCCAAGCAAATGATTCTATGCCGTTTTCATTTAGTTGTCTTTTGAAGGATAGATGTTGTACCTGACATCATACACAATAATTATCTTACAGTACTGGGGGGTGTTTCACAAAGATCCTAAGTAGAACTTAACTCTAAGTTGGACTTAAAAATTATGGACAGCCATTGGAGTCCTAAAATGAAATATATTCAAAAGCAGAAATTCAAGTATTTTAGACTTTTTATAAATTCAACATCCAGAACATGAAATCTCCTTGATGATAGACAATATGAATGATTTGAATAAACAATTAATGCCTTTCAAAATAACTTTTACAAAATATTTTCAAAGATGCTAATGGCTTTCCATAATTTTTAAGTCCAACTTAGTGTTAAGTTCTACTTAGGATCTTTGTGAAACACCCCCCTGGAGGTGTAGCCTCAGTTAGCAAGGCGATGATTGGAATACCCTCTGCCCGACAATCTTGCGTTCCCCATCTTTGGTGCGATCCCTCGGGGAGGCGAGAGGCGACCTGATGCCTCCATTCATCAAAGGCCTGTTGGGGGACTGAGGTGTGCGTGGGCTCATGGTAAGACCTAGACTATCCGTCGAGGCATTGCTGTCTAGACTGCCCTGCCTGGCAATGGCAAGCTGTCGGGGTGGGGTCTGCCTATTTGCAGTCCCCACGCTGGGGACGTGGATGACGCTTTGTATCGAGGACGTAGATGAGTAGAGGCTGCTGTTGGTGCTGAGTGCGCTTCCAGGTCGTCGGTTGATATTCTGGCTCGAGGATATTTGGTTAGAAGGTGAACTGCTCGAGTTATCTACACTACTATTGGGGCTTGGATTTAAGCCCTTTTGGCGGGATAGCATGACTTGTTTGTAGTCGGGCGGTGAAGAGTAGCTTATAGGCTTGGTGAGTGGCAAGGTGGACTTGTTATGAATGGAATGGCTGTTGTATGGTGGGGTATGACGGATGCTGTCAGGATCACTTGAGATGGGACTACGAGGGTAATCAGAACTCTTGTCGCTACTGTCACTAGTCCTTGATTCTCTGAGATGGCTATTGTTAGTCCTGTAAGGTATAGGTCCTAGACTAGTTCTTGTCAGACCATGGGTGGAGTTGGTTCCCTGAGGACTAAATCCATTGGTCCTACTTGGAATCACGCCATTTGGTTTGGAATGAGGAGTTTGATTATTGCCAGCTCCACTGCGAGGCTTATTGTCAAAGAGAGGCTTTGCTTTGATGGGAGGAGGGGGCTTCTTTCCTGCCTTCTCCAACCGACCAACCAAAGAAGTGGTAGGGGCGCCCATGCTTGCTGCATTGGCAGTATGGTGTTGTATCTTACTCTCCACCACTGTTGCAGAGACAGGATTATTGACCTGAGCAGCGCTTTTATTGCTAGGGGTTGCGCTGTTGTTATTGTTGCTGCTGGAAGTACTGTTGAATTTGGTCTCTTGTTCCATGGGGCTCACGCGATCCTGGCTGCTGTTTCTGCGTAGCTTCTCTCTGTTGTGCTGGAGATCAGAGTACTGCTGCATGCGTTCTACGGCTGTCATATGCTTCATGGTGTCCTTCAGAATCTTCATGGCAATGTTCTCATGACCAAGCGCCTGCAGCGGGGACGTTCTGCTCTTCTGCCTCGCACCCTTAGTGGTGCTCTCCACACTGTCAGTGCTACTTTGACGTCTTGTCTTTCCAGCTACGACCTGTTTTCCTGATGGGCTATTGCCCCGGCTACTGTTCTTTGACGTCTGTCCTAGACTCGTAGAAGCTGCGTTTGGCAAGAAGACATCTCCTGGTGATGGTGACCTACTGGGCCTGGTGCCTACAGGCTTTCCTCTGGCTGTAGGACTCATCCGTCTCAGGGCTGCAAGAGTGTAGCCACGCTCACTGACCATATCATCAGTTTCATCAATGAACGCAGGATTAACAGTCCCTGCGACAGGTGAATACGTACCACCAATCAACGACTCTCTAGACGACCTCTGCGAACTGATTGACACAGGGCTTTCGGCCTTCAGCGTTATTGGCGGCGGCACCGATTCCGGACTGAAGGCGTTCTCATCCTGCAGGAAGGCCAGGACCTCTTGAGGAATACCCAGATGACCCAACCGCTCATCGCTCCTGCTGCCATCTCTCTCCTTCCGCCCTTCAGGAACGGTAGGCGGACTTGGCGACACCGGTGACAGCTCTGGATTGTTCAAACCCAGCGAGGTCAAGCTGGTACTGGAGTAATCCCCTCTCCAGTTGTGTGCCTTCGGGGTGGAAGTTGTTGCATGAAGGTGGTTCTGTCTGCCTTCCTTGACGCTTCTCATCATAGACCTTGATGAGACCTTGTTGGGTTTGGACACCACCACCTCTCCGGACTTCAGGGAGTGACTGGAGATGATGGATGTTCCTGACATGGCTGACATGGAGAACCCTGACATCCCAGACATAGAGGTACCGGATGTCTCAGAGTTCAGACTCTCCATGGAGGAGAAACTCTCCAAAGGCAAGGTCTTGGGAGCTTCTGATGGATCTTTAAAAGAGAAGAAAAAAAATGGAAAGTTTCAATCAAAAAGAAATAATCCAATGTTCCATTTTGTATCCCATTTGAATTCTCTAACAAAGTTCAACACCATGGCACAATGTATTTTTTTTTTTTCTCTTTATTTTTCAGGCTACAAAATTCAATTGTAATAGATAAAACAATTAATACAATTGTAAGCACCCAATATTCTTGAAAATAATAAGCAAAAGCCTCATACTCCTTGCCACAGCACTTGCTGTATTTGTTACCAGCCGAATGGAAATAAATGATGTATGCTGAGATCTCAGAAATAAATTGAAGCCCTCTTTACAGAAAGTATTTTTCTCTCGTTTTTTTTTCCTTCACCTGACAAGTACTACTTCTTGTCAGTTGACACCATTAATGATAAAGACAGGTCCCAACACAAGCTTAAAGCCCATCTGCACTAGTTTGCCAGGTGGGATTAGACTACCCAGCATGGTCACTGACAGGTGGTTCTCTCATCAGATCAGCTCTCAATTAACATAAGAAAAAGGGGATCATGGGGGACCAGTGGTCATCGATTAGGCATTGTTTGCAATATAGAGGGCCCAAGCAGCTACAAGTAGTGTGTAGTGGGGCTTTAAAACAGCTTCCAAAGGATGATGAGTTGAGAGGTACTTACTGAAGATAGCCAGCAATCCCTGCAGGGTGTAATGGATGGATCTTCTGCTGACTTGTTTCCTTGTGATGAGAAGGACTTCCTCTGGTCCCATGTCTATCACATCGAACCCTGAAGATAAGGAAGAAAAGGAAAGAAGTTAAGTGGACAAGTCCAAGATAATTTTGAGGGGTCAATGACACAAAGTCGTAACTTCATTTTGGCCATTTTGAGAAAAAGTGGTTCATGTGTCACTGAGCACTTGGGCCTTAAGGAGTGTAGTCTATGTTTCACTAGCCATTGACTTCAATGGGGTGATGGGTGGAGTTAATTCTTTGTGTTTCCTGGAAAGCCCACATTTTTCTTTACATTTTGATATCAAATACTCATTTTGGCAAAATATGGAGTTACGTCTTTGAGTCACTGAACCCTCGATTTGTCCCATATCTTACCGATCATGCCTAAGATTTTTGTTTATCTGTTAATCGTACTGAGATGATAGCTCTAAAATAGTTTTGATCAAACAAAACACACAGAACAATGATCTTTCTGATGTAAATGTAGGTTCATAATACTGTAAAACTTGGAAACCTATCGAGCACCTTTTGACCAAATCCTTTGGACATGCCAGGATAAACATTCTGTGCCCTCATCGTTTGAAACCTCACAAAGAAAGATTAGTAATATTACTAATGGACTATATATCTCTTCACTTTCCTTCTGACATTAAAGAACAAATTGGTAAAAAATAAACCTCAAATCCTTTGAGTATCACCAATATATATTTGGTTAGGCTAGCTAGTCATTTATCGCAAGATAGAATTCGCTGACTTCCAAACCATATTCTAGTGTGTTCTAGTCTCTCACCTAATGAAGACAGAAGCTCATGACATCCAGGTGTCTGCCACAGCTTGACGTTGACTGGTAACTGCATGCCCCCCTCTCCATCCCTGCAGTACTTGGACTGCACATGCTGGAGCTATGGAGAGGAAGATATGAGAAAGGGTCACTATTACATTATTCACTCAGGAACATAAAGAGCAATAGCCAGGGCCTGAGGAAGGTTACAAGGGTATCAGGGTGATCTGACATTTAGCAACAATTGCTCCATGATTTACTTCATCACTATATATGGCTAAGGTGAGAGTTAGGATTGTAATCAGGTTTTAAATTAAAGGGATAGTTGAGTTTTGTTGCAGAGGGCACTACACAAAATAACTATTTTGTGAGATAATGAAAAACCGAGTGTCAAATTTGAAAGAATATAAAATTTAAATGACAAAATCATCTTTGTTTGATGAAAATCGGTTCAGAGATGGTTGAAATATCCATAAATATAACCATCTCTAATATTTGTGGTACCCCACAAATATTCTGTAATTTTTAACCAGCGGTTGAGCACGGTTAAAAAACGAGATAGGGCAGTACAGGTATATGTTTTACTCTAGCCAATGCCAATATTGGCTTTTTGTTGGCTTTTTCGTGTTGGTTATATAATGCGCACAACCAACCGGCCCGTGTATTGTTTTTATTAAATTGATTAATTAACAGTCACCATATTTTTTTGAAAGTGGAGCTGAATTGGTATGATCATATTCAATCTAAATTCACCTATTTTGGGGTCTAAAATACCTCCATGGCAATTTTAGGTTCTAAAAGGGCTTTAGAAATGTCATAAGTAAGAATAAGAGCAATAACCATGCACTCTGAAGGCATTTGCGGTCTTAAACAAGAACTCAACTATCCCTTTAAGGTTCAGGGATGGCATTAGGGATACAATTCTGAGAAGTCATTCTACCACACATTATGAAATGACCCTCTAGCAGCTATCTAATCAGACTTCTAACATGTTTCTTCACTACAGATTGAAACTCTAGACTGATAAGATAAAAGATGAGACAAATATTTTCTGTTTATTCCTGTACTGGACAAAAGTAGATACAGAGTTCATTCATTTTCCTCTATAAACTATTTCCATGTTTGATAAATCTGTCATCTGTCCATCTTGTCTATCTTTTATTTTGATGGTTCTTCTATGATTATAAACACATCAATATAATTTCCATGTATTCTTTTGAATTTGGATGAATAAAAAGAATTAAATTGAATTGAATTGTTTGCAAGCCATTGACTCTCTTTAAAAAGGACATAAAAATGTAGGTCTGCATAAAGCATCTTTCAATAAGCACAAAAAGAGAAATGTAATCTCAGCTCGTTTCACTACACAATTAAAAAAAAAAAATTTTAAATAAAAAACCCTGAAGAAGCAGATGAAGATAAGAGTTAGAGTTAGTATGCTCATTTATGAAAATAAACAGCAGAAGACTGACAAATTCCTTTGTACTGTGAGGGCAAGAAAGGTGCTACTAAAACCTAAGTGCCCGGTACAGATTTAATATCCTTCTGCCTCAAACCAATGGAATATAGCATTAATAATGATCATAAGCATTGTGAAAAAGTGTGCGGTAAGTGCATTCCAGTGCAATATATATGTTTTAATACTGTGGAGATAAGAAGCATTTGAAATTGATAGTGCAAGAATTATACAGAAAATAGATTGCATCCACATAAGAAATGGTCGGTTGTGCGTAAGATGGCCGTAAGGCCTGTAACAACTGTGTATTGTCAATGGCAGTGACGGCCTTGATGCGGGCAGTAGACAAATGATTCATTCTGTACAGGTGAGAGTTTTATCCAGTGCAGTAACACTGGAAATGCAAGACCGATGTGAAACACAATCTGCTTTGAAGGTGGTGCAACTTTGCATAAAGTGCAAAATTACGACCCCAGTCACATCGCTGAACATAGTCTATACAGATTCCACAACCCATCGAGTCTTGGCCATTTGGGATAATGTTTTTAAACAAGGGAAACGCTCTCGGCGGTCTCGCCTGCATAACGCAATTCAATATGATAAACCAGAACGTCAATGACGTAGCGCTCATCCGCATCTCGCAACAACAAATATCGTAAATTTTATGTGGTACACTTTTGAACTGGTCAAAAAATAAAAATTTGATGCCCTGGAAGGGACATAATTTCATTTCATTTGCATAAAGTACCATAAATAATCAATGGAGCAAAATCTCACAATTCTGAGTAGAAGTTTAGTGTTCCAAATTTAGCTCTACCAGATAAGGCAAACCAAATCAAAATCAGTCAAGAAATGAAGGAGAAGAAGCCTTTTTTGTGATTTCGAATAAATTTGCATAAATTAGCATAGATAATGAATTTCACGATTCTGTGTAGAAATTTTAAATCCCCCTCCTAGCCCTATCATATGAAACAATCAGAATCAAAATCGGTTGAAAAATAATGAAGAAGAAGCATTTGAACATTTCAATGGGATGTCAGTGAACTTGAACTTATGACGGTTTCGTGAGACGCTGCCCTGGGTTCTGGTGTCTGTCATGTTGGTGTGATTTGGGTGTTAAAGTTCATTACAGTGAATTCTTTCTAGGTGCTGTGTAAAATATGGGTGATTCTTTATCCCCCTATATGCAGGAATACACAAAGTGCATACTTTCTAGCTGCTTTTTTCATAAATGCAAGAATACACGAGGTTGTCCTTATTTATGAGCAAGATATGCAGATCATACGAAGTGCTTTGAGGGTTAGAGGGTGCGCTTTTATACACACAAAGCAAGCAGGTGCATTTAGATCACGACACACTCTCTACTACCATGTGTTTCTGCACGGTTCCAGGGGACTCTAGATAGCTAGGGATGTGTAAACTACTGGCTTCTAGCACGGGACTCCCTCCCTTCTGCTCGCGTCTCTTCTCCAACTCTACAAGCAACATGCCGAGCTGCTCGGGCGATGAGGGGCGGGGCAGGGCGGGGCAGGGCGGGGCGAGCAAGTGGGCACATGCATGAGGGTGGGGTGTGGGGAGAAATACATGGAGATACGATGGAGGTGAATGAATCCATGAAAATGGAATGAGGAAATGCATTTGACAGATTGAAATCATTAACAACAAAAAAAGAATCAAGGGATTTGAAAATGCAGATGAACATGGGAAAAAAATGATCAAATGGAATGTGTATAGAAATGGGTTCTTCTTCAATGATGTGATGCTATACCAGAGATAAATCATTTTACCATGAAAAGGGGATACCAGATATGGAAAACTAACATTAACTAAACCAATACATCTTTTCCCATGAGATGGTATGGAACAAAAATGGAATGCATTCATGCCATAAACAAAGAATCCACACTTCAGATGAACACATAAAACAATGATCCAAATGAAATCTGTATAAAAATGATTTATCTAGAAATGATGCATGACTATACTGATGATAAATACATTTAACATGAGTTTTTTGTTTTTTTGTTTAATACAAAATAAATAAATAAAGATGTGAATACATGACATGTAGCCCACAATTACCGTTTCCCATGTAATGATATGATGCGCATAAGTGTAAACATTTCACCTTAATTACAAGTCCAAATTCCACTGATTAAAGTTTAAATATGACATCACACTTCCCCCATGTTACTGACAGCATAGAAAAATTAACTGAGGACTGGAAAAGCAATTGATATATGGCTCTGAACAGATATGCTCTTCTAGTTGTCTGTTGACAATATGAGAATGCAAAATGATACAGCAAAGTGGCCAAGATAGGAAGAGAAAATATGAATTTTTACCATTTCAATGATTTCCAAAGCTGCCTCCGGGAACGGTAGAAGCTTGGATATAGCCAGGTTGGTTTGATTGGTGAGTCCTGGGAAAATATGAAAGAGGAGAAGGCTTTGCATAAATGTAAGTTATTGATAAAATTAGTGACAAAATCTTCCACTGACTTCCTAGTTCATATTGCGGTCATATGTATTTACTTGTTTCATATGAGGCACTGTTTATTGTAATTGCTCTAACAGAGAAAGCATGATGAACTTCTCAAACCACGTGCACGTTTGTACCCAGCAATATGGCTATGAAACATCCCTTATCACTCATTATAACTATACACATTCTCACCGTCGTCTCAAGATATTACAAACTTATTTTCTCCTAAAACCTATGATTGTTCTTGCCTAGGTAAACAAAGCGTTTTGAATTTCAGGTCATTCTAGAAACTGAAGTTTAAATATGGTCATGCAAATGCTGTATGGATTCAATAACCAAACTAAGCTAATGTAAAATAGTACTTTGACTTTGGTAGCACCCTCTTCAACATAAATAGAGTACTGAAGTTGTGACATCATGAAAATCTATTTTTAGAATTTCTCAATCTTTACTAGGAACTTAGTGTTATTTGCTCTTGTTCGCATTGTTATGAACCGGAGCAAAATAACACTGAGTTCCAATAGGAATTCTATTTATTCAGATGGTCATATCTCAGCCAATACTCAACATATTAAATTGATTTTCACAATTTGTATATTATTTTTGATGCTCTTTCGGAAAATGAAGTTAAAATTTAGAAATTCTAAAAAATATTTTTTTGATGACGTCACACTTCACCACTCTATTTCCTCAAGTACTTACCTAGCAATGCCTGGAGACTGGAGCTCGCCTGGAGGAGCCTGTCTCCCGGGTCCGACTGAGGGAAGAAGACGGAGGGCGGGATGGAGGAAGATATCTCCTCCTCGAATCTGAAGCCCACGGACTTGAGAAGCTCCTGCCACCCCCTGACCGGCCCCACCCTCTTGGTGATGCTCGGCTGGGTGGTGTACATGGGGTTGGTCTGACCGCGGTTGATCCGCTGCAGGGATTTCTCAATCTGGAAGCAGAGAAAGGGGAAATAAGATTGGTTATATGAGAACGGGGGGGGGGGGGGGGGGGGGGGGGTTTTCATAAAGCTGTTCGTAAGTTACGTATGACTTTACGAATGACTTGAATATGAAGAGCTAAATGGATACTCAAATCCTTTTAATTGCATAAGCTAAAGTTGAAATATGCAGATGTAGATTAACCTTATCGTTAATAACAAAACATTTTAATGCAAAGTGTATTTTTGGCTACAGTTTAATTGAGATTATGGGAAATACAGTCACATTTTGTTAATTTTTCAGGAAAAACTGTGGACATCCCATTTGGCTCTTCATATTCAAATCATTTGTAAAGTCATTCAAAACTTTACGCACAGCTTTATGAAATGCCCCCCGGCTGTGGTGGAATGCGAAGATGGGGAATGAAGAATAGGGAAATGGATAATGAAGATTGAAAATGAAAAATCTGGAGGAAGGACGCAAAAGAAAATAAGACAGAAAGAAATCTTGAGATAGAGACAGAAAGAGGATATACAAGTAGATGTACAGAGAGACTGAGATATAGGGTAGAAGAGATAGACCTGCATACAGAAAAGGGTAGAGGAAAGAAGGAAGGGAGGGGAGGGGGGAGAGACAGATAGGTTGCTGTCAATCAAGAGCAGTGATAACACAAACACGAGTAAACTGAGAAAGGGGAGAAGAAATTAATCACAGATAAAGAGGCAACTTAAAGGCATCGTTTACGAATGTCAAAATTTGATTTTGATTTCCAATCATAAATATCTTGATAATCAGACAGGCAATCGGCTTGTAAAAGTCATGGGCTTTCTGACTGACCTAAAAGTTTATAATTATCTTAGCAGCATGAGCCAAATCCAGGATTTTGTTACAGAATCTGAGACAAAGTTATCCAATCTCTTTAAAGCAAATGAATGAGAGTTCTGTCAAGTTTTTACAAAATGAAGAAATCAAAGTAAAGAGATTATAGGATTTGAAATATATAACTGAAATTATATATATATGGCTAAGTATTCAAAGTGATTACTAACCAGATGTAGCAGTACTCTCAGGGCATCTCTGCACTTGGAAGGCGTGGTCAGGACATCACCCAGGGCGTTACCAAACATGGCGCTCTTGTTGCTCAGCCTCGCATCACAGCCCACGAGAGCAAACCCCGCCCAGTTGGACGGATGCGCAAACTGCTTCACCTCCCGGACGCTCTTCATGGCCTCTGCCACAGCCACGCTGGCCTTGCTCCCGCCCAGGAGCTTATCGTAGAGGGCCCTGACGAAGACTTGAACCGCCGACTCTGGCATGGACCAGAGGGGGACCAAGACGCTCTGGGCCCCCGCCGCCAGGAACGAGCGGGCCAGGCCGATGACAGAGTCGGAGGTGATGCGGCCGCCGCCACCACGCCCCTCGTTGCCGTAGGGACTAAGGACCACAAGCTTGGCGGTGAGATGGAGATCCAGGATGTCAGCTGCTGTTAGGAGGAAGTCACTCAGCGAGGGGATGTCAGAGCGGGAGCCGTTGCGAGCGTGGGGCTCGGGACTGTTCATGTCGTTCAGGTCCAGCTGCTCAGGAGAGTTGGGACTATTGGCACTGAGGTGCAAAAAAGTAGAGAAAAGAAAGCGATCAGTTTTCCCTCCAGAAATATCAATTCCTGTCAAACCTGTGAGACAGTTTCCAGAATGCATTAAAACTTACCTCACATACTGATTCAGTATTTTATATAAAGTTTACATAGCCTTGTCAAGGGCTTGTCTGCTAAAGCATATCTAATATCTGTGAAAGAAATGGCATTCTTATGCAATCCGTTCTGACATTGAAAAGAGCCTAGAATCAAGGAAATATGCTGAAACCATGACCTCCCAAACTGCTACACTAGTAATGACGTAACATTCACTGCTTTGTTAATTCAGCTTGGTCAATCCATTTCCAAACAAGCAGATGTTAAGACAATAGAATGATAATTGTAGATGTAGTAGAAGTAGTAAATCTACCTTGTAAGATGGATTGGAGAGGCACTCAATATCGGGGTAGGATCTTTGGGTGATAGCACTAGAGCCGAAAGCTTCCAGGAAACATGAGTAGCAAAATGGAGGCACTCGGCACTCTCGATGGCATGAAGGACTCCCTCTTTGGTGGCCGAGGCACCAGTCAGTGGTTTGACCCCGAGAAGTTCTGATACAGTTGATGCCTCCTATTACGAGCAAGAGACAAAAAAAAAATTTTTATGGAAAATAAGATAACTTTTCTTTGGAATATTGTATTTCTAAGATATAATACATTTGGTTAATCAGCTCTCTAATTTTCGACTCAGAATTACTCTATTAAATCATATTTAATTATTTTTTTAACATTTAAACTTTATTTGTCACATCCTTCTGCTACTTATCGTATTAAATAAAGAAATACAGCAACTATGGAGATGAAATCTTTCATGGACACTTCATCCACTGATGGCTGCTTTATTATAATCAAACTTTCTGGTAACAATTATGGGTTTATGACAAACAAATTTAAAATATCATCAATGAATCATAATTCACAATACTTTTATATCTACTATGTAAAAAGTTTACGCTTTACACCAAAACATGCAAAAAAAAACAATTTTTAAAAGTTTTTGCATTGTTTTAAAACATTCATGAGAGTCCTGGGGTCGACCTTTGACCTTTGGATCTATTACCATGGCAACAGGTACATCACCCCCAACTCGAGCTGAAACTCGACCAGGATGTAGATGGAATGATGAATCATATTTCAAGATTTAACGACTCCCGTAGGAGCAATCGGCATAAATGTAACCAGTTTTATCTCAACTAAACAATATCCCTTGGTTGTAATAAGTCAATATGTGCGATTCCCGTAAGAGGCCTTTAGGCAAAGAAAATTTACAACCTGGCAAAGTTTTTAGCTACTTTTTTATTCCCTCTAACCCCTTGATAATTTGATTGTATTATTGAATTACAAACAAAACCATATTTATCTGGAATACATAAATTTACATGTATGGTTCTCTGGAGTGTAATTTTTCAATAATTATAAAGATGTGCTGGGAGAAAACAATTCTTTACAAGCAGGAAAATGCAATTCTTCACTTAAGATTTTCATCTCTTGATGTACAGTAGTAGCTAAATACCAATGAGATGTTTGAAATGAACAAAGCTGATTTTGGGTTACGTTGATTGAACTGTATTTTGAACAAACTGGCTTGAGTTATAATGATTGTTATCAGTTTGTCAGTAGATTGGTAGTCTGGATTAGCAAAATTCAGTCCAAGTTTGAATTGGAGTAATTTCATTTTTCTCCACTACTACAACTCAATCTTAATCTCAGTACCAACAATAGTGTAAAGGACTGTATTAGGTATACAAAATGAGGTTCCAAATCTTTTAATGTGAACATTTGAGAAGAAACAGGTTGTAAGTTTTTCTTTTAACTACTGTGGTTTAAAAAAATAATATCATCATCGTTGAATGTCTATTATTATCATGCTGCGGGTTTGAACATTGTTTTAGTTTTAATTGCAGGTATTATTCACATATTTGCGCCAAATTCTGTTCATACCATCTTTCATGAATAAAAAAAATCATACAAATTAATTCATTATAAAACCAATTGATTTAATGAGAAGGTTGAGTTCTGGGGAGAGGTGAAGACTAATTTGTGATCGTTATCATTGTTATTACGCAAGTGTGGAAGATGAGTTTAATTGAATTCCCATAGATCATTGACTGACCTGTTCTGAGCCAGCCATCCCGCTCCAACCCCACTTGTCGATGACGCTGGTAGGAAGCTTAGGGTTGGCCACCACCAGGGCAGGCTGCATGCCACTGCTGGTCGGAGATCGCTGCTCCCAGTACATGTTAAGGTTCAGCGCACGAAGAGAGGGGACCATCCGAACATTGAAGCGCTCGTGGAAGGATTCGGTGGAGGAGCCTCCCTTGAGGATGGAGAAAGGCACTAAGTACAGGTCTCCTGATGAAGAGAAAATGACAAAGGAAATCGCTATAGGATTTAAACAAATATGGTTTAATTACACAACTTCATAGATATAACTGCACAGAGTCTTAATTTTGAAATAAAGGACATTACTAAGATTATGATGAAAAAGCACAAGAGGTGTTGACAAATTGAACTCCATCTTGGCTGCGACCATCACACGATGGTGATAATGACATGAGGTATTCAGTTTCACTTTAGGTAGTCTAACAGATTTCAAAAACCTGGATTGTTGTGAAAGGAATGTTTCATTAAAGCATTTTGGATAAGGACAAGAGAGATATTGTTAGAGATATCCAATGGTTTTTTAAATAAAAGATATATATTTCCAACCAATACTAACCTTCTAGCACCAACACAAGATCTGTTCTTGGCGTATCAGGTCCATTGGGTTGTGGCAGGGCATCTTCTAATGGTGCAATCAAGACATCATACAGCGCCCTCAACGGAGGCTTGCCAGACCACGACTTGTGCCTCAGAAGCTTGTTGGCTGCTTCTCGTCTGGCGATGCTCCCGTTGAGGCTTCCTAACCCACCACTCAGCTGACTTGCCAGGCTGGCAATGCTACGGGATGAACTGTTGATGATGTTATTGCGGTTGGTGAGACGCAGGAAGCCGCTCCGGTCCGAGTCCAGCTTGGCGGATAGCTCTTCCAAGTGCTGCTGCAGGAGATCGTCAGCCTCCGACTCCGTCTCGCTGGTGATGTCCCCGTTGTAATGGATGTGGGTGTCCACCCCCAGGGCTTCCCGGGCATGACTGATGTACTGCTCCAGGAGTGCGGTGCAGGAGTAGGAGATGCCGTTGGTCAGGTTCAGGGAAGGCAGGGAGGTGGTGGAGGACGCTGTGGAGGATTGGTCATCAGCCTTGGTGTCCTTGTCAATGTGGGCTAAGTCACAATCATGGAACTTGACAATACCTACAATGTAAACATTATCAAAATGAATTATATTTTCAGTTTGAGAATTTTCTAATCTGTTCTAGAATATTTATGTTAATGATTTATTCATTAGAGGAAAGGACCGAGGAGCAACTTCAACTGATTTAAGAAAACACATGGATGTTCCTATTATATATACAAATATAAGCATAATGTTACATTTAGAGATAAGCCGAATATCCTGCTTTTAAAGGAGGGAAATTATGGAATAATATTGACAACTCAATCAAACATGTGACCTTAGTTCTTTTAAGTCGAAATTCAAGTTGCGTCTTCTTGCCACATATATATGACTTCCTATGATGCATACAATTAACATATAAATTTTGTTGTTCTGTTTTATTATTGTGTTTTAGTTTGTAATGTCCTGTATACGTCTTGCATTTTGTTTTATTGTGAATTTTAATGTTTTGTATTTTCCACATTTGTCATTTATGTTATGGGTACACCCACTTCTCTCAAGCCATCGGCTTTATCGGGTGTTAAACGATCCAGTACAATTCTCAATGTATATATATTGTATGTGATTTTTTATGAAATAATAAATTGAAATTGAAAATTGAATTGAACCGATTGGATATGACTTTTTAGTGAAACAAACATTTTCCACAGACTCAATTCCCACATATCACTGGTTTTGTATTAAATGGGTTAAGCACTTCAATCCAAGACTAGTATAAAGCTGAAATCCTAATTGTATTTTCGAATTTGAAGAGATTAGCTATTTCAAACCCCAAAGAAATTCCAAAAGGGAAAGAAATGGTCTCACCATCCGATGGATTCATCAGCCAGCTATACAGATGACCGTCAGCAATAGAGAAATAGAGGATGTGAGCATTCTGCCTGCTGACAAGGTCTTGTATCTGATCATTGGTAATGAGAGTCGTGTCCATAGATGCCGTCTCATTTCCAGTCTGACGTTCCATCAGCAGGTCCACAAAAGCTCTTGTCCGTCCACGCTCTGCGACTGCCAAAGCTTCATCCGCGCGATCAAGGGCCACTAGGACACGCTGAAGGGCTTGATAGGATGCGGACTGAGCATCAAAGAGTGAGATCTTGTACTCTCCGCTTCCATGGGCGTCTCTTCGGATCTCCTCGAAGATCTCTGCAGCGCGGTAGAGCTCATGTTGTGCATCCTCCAGCTTGGAGATAGACCAGAGGGCGAGACCGAGTCGGTGCCGGATCTTGGCCTCGTCCTCCCTGCGACCGAGTTGGTTTGCAATCTGCAGTCCCTGCTTGAAGTAGGTGACACTTTGGGTGTGGTTACCCAGGGCATGGTGTACCCTACCTAAGCTGGCATAGGCCAAGGTCTTCGCTACTCTATCATTGACCTGGGCGGCTATACTGAGATGTTGTTCTTGATAGACAATTGCTTTCTGGTAGTTCCCCAGTGATTCATGGGTCACTCCTAAGTTTCCAAAGGCCCTACCCTGACAAGAAAGGTTATTGGTTTCCTCTGCAATCTTCAAGTCATCCTCATGAAACTCAAGAGCCTTCTCAAACTCTCCCATTTGCTGATACACACCACCTAGTCCACAAGCAGCATCTGCTTGCCCTGCTTTATCATTTGCTTCAAGTGTTATCCTCATTTGATTTTCAAGACAAGATACCGCTTGTTCAAAGTTACCCATGAGACTATGTAAACAACCAAGCTCACCATAAGCTGATGCTTTGGCTGTTGCAGAGTTTGTTTCATGTGCTAAAAGTAGACGTTTCTCATAACAGAAAGAGGCTTGTTGCAGGTTTCCCAGTGAGCGATGGACGTTCCCTAGACCATGGTAAGCTTTGTCCTGCTCTTCTAGATTCCTTATACTTTGTGCTATAAGTAGGTACTGTTCATAACACTTTATTGCTTCCTCAAGATCATTCAGTGCTTCATAGCACTCTGCAAGGTTTGCAAAAGCACTTGCACGATTTTGTAGCACCACATTGCCTCCTACTTGTTCAAGAGCTCCAAGTTGTTCCTCAAAATAGCCTAGAGCATCTTCAAAGAGGTTCATGTTCATTTTGGTAATACCAAGATTGCCATAGGCTTGTGCCTGAATGGGTCCATCATTAAGCTCGCGTGCTCTCTCCAGTTGTTCCTCATAGCATTTAAAAGCATCAAGGAATTTTCCTAGGGAGGTATGTACAGCACCTAAGTGGCTATGAGCCTTGCATTCTCCTTTAAGATCATTGAGCTCTTGATACAACTGCAATTCTTGTGTGTGGTGTGCCAGTGCTTTGTCATAATGTTTCAGTTTTCTCTGAGCAGCACCGAGCGCACCAAACGCAGTTGCTTCCAGCGCCTTGTTGCTGACCACTTTCGCGAGTTGTAACTGTTGCTCATAGAACCTCACTGCACCTTCTGTATCCTTTTTGGCCATGAAGATGTCCCCAAGGTTTCCCAAAGCCCTAAACTTGCCAGGAGCATTCTTGACCTGCTGTGTGATCGTCAAGAAGCACTTCTGGCAGTCTTCGGCCCTCTCAAAGTTACCTAACGTCCTGTAAGCCAAACCCAGATTGCAATAGGCCCTTCCCATCCAAACTTTGTCTTTCTGATCCCTGGCAAGCAAGAGATCTTTCTCATAGTATTGAACAGCAGCCTTATAGTTCCCTAAGGAGTAGAGAGCATATCCTAGATTATGGTATGCTTTGCCTTGTCCTTCGAGATCTTTGACCTCCTTCGCTAATGCAAGGTATCGCTCATAGAATGGAATCGCTTGTTGGAACTCCCCTCTAGAACTGTGATAGTTACCAAGGTTGCTCAATGCTCTTGCCTCACTGGCTTTGTCCTTCAATTCACCCGCTATTGACAAATGGCTCTGATAATGCTCCATGGCTTTATCCTTGATGTTCATCGCCTGATAGGCAACAGCGAGATTACCATGGGTGCATGCTTCTGCACCCCTATCGTTAACCTCGCGCGAGATGGTCAGCTCCTGCTTGTGGTACTTGATAGCTTGTTCATGCTGGTTCAAGGCACTGTACGCATTGCCCATGTTACCGTACGCACGTCCCATGCTAGCACGGTCGTTCATCTCCGTGGCTATGTTCATATGTGCTTTGTGCCACTTCAGCGCGGTCTCGTATTGTCCCTGCTGCTGATACACGATCCCCAGGTTAGAACACGCCCTCGCTTCCGTGACCTTGTCTTTGGTGCTGAGTGATATATTGAGTTGCTGTTCATGGCACTGCTTACCCGTGTTCAGATCCCCCGAACACCTGGCAGCGTGGCCAAGTCCTGCATAGGCTCTCGCCTCCATTGCACGATTTTCCTGTCCCTTCGCGATCGTCAGCACCTCACTGTGGTAATGCGATGCCTTTTCAAAGTTCCGCTGATAATGGTAAGCGCTTCCTAAATTACTGTAGGCCCGGGCCTCTTCGGTTCTATTCTCTAGCTGTTTGGCGATGTCCAGGTGCTTTTTGTGGCACTCCAGTGCCTTGTCAAAGTCTCCAAGTGCGAGTTGGACGGCGCCAACGTTGCCAATCTCCCGAGCTTCAAACTGCTTGTCGTTGAGTTGTCGTGCCAGAGTGACACACTGCTTGTGTGTTGTGAGTGCATTGGGGAAGTCTCCAATTGCTGAGTATACGTGACCTGCATAAAAAGAGAAACGATGAGGTGACCACAAGTGATTTCATCATATGTTTTCTAATCATAAAACCACTGATTTGTATTGGGATAAGAATAGCACAATTCTAGTGAGGATTTGGAGGAGAAGTGAAATGCATACATAGCAAATTAACCCTATTGCAGATGGAGCTCACATTGAATTCGCAGCTGATCAGTGTCGGACATAATCAAACATATTTGTCATCTTGAAACTGGTGCAGGCAAAAGAATATATATTTATATAAGTACTTTGGCGAAGGAAAACATTTGTTTTACTCTGCTTTACAATGATGATGATGAAACAATAAGTACCTTAAACCTTTAAGCTATTGATGTGCAAGTTTGCCCTACTTTTTAAATATAGTCCAACTAGTTTCAATTTGCCAGGCAATCATACAAATTTCGAAGTGTGGAGGGGAGGGGAACCGGAGAGGAGAGAAGAGAAGAGAAGGAAAAGGAGGAGAAGACAAAAAGAAAAGAACAAGAAAAGAGAAGAGAAGAGATGAGAGAAGAGAAGAGAAGAGAAGAGAAGAGAAGAGAAGAGAAGAGAAGAGAAGAGAAGAGAAGAGAAGAGAAGAGAAGAGAAGAGAAGAGAAGAGAAGAGAAGAGAAGAGAAGAGAAGAGAATAAGAAGAGAAGAGAAGAGAAGAAGAGGAGAGAAGAAAGAATGAGGAGGGAATAACAGAAGACAAGAAAAGAGAAGGAGAACAAAGAGAGAACACTTACCTAAACTACTGAGTGCTGATGCTGCTACGTTCCGGTCTTTCTGTTTCATAGCTAGGTAGAGTTGGAAGTGATGGTGAGTTAAGGCTTCTTTGTAGTTGCCCTGGGAGAAGTACGCTGCTCCCAGGTTTCCATGGGCCCTACATTCACCCACATGGTCACCTGGAGGGGAGAAAGGAAGCAGCAAAATTATGATACTGTCATGCATGTTGAGAAGGGTTTCAAATAATCTTAAGCATATCAGAAACCCTCTGGTATATGTAACTCTCACATGTCACTTTATAATCTTGAATGTAGACTTTGCATTACTTTCATCAACACTTTCTGAGCCAAAAATGTACATCTTGACCAAGAATTCAAAGCATCTAAGGAAGGCTGTTTTGTCTTCAGAAACAGATAGGTGCAGTACTGTAAAGCTTGTTCCTGTGAAAACATTTCTTCCTAACATACTAACAAAACAGAGATAAAGATTTTTTATTAAATTTGGCTATAATTTGGACTTGAAGAGAATTTACTATTGCTATGACTTCTATTAGTGACGAAAGGGTTGAACTGCCTCATGTAGACCAGGGGCCCGTTTCACAAATCCTTTTCCTTGAAAAATTACAAAAGTCACTGAAAAATCTGCTGATAACCAATCAGAAGCAAGGATTTCAGTACCTTATAAAAAAAACTATCATTTGTCACTGATGACAAGTTTTGTGAAATGAGGCCCAGGATATTCTATAGAACAAGAAAGACTCATATCTTGACCAAGATAGTTGAGACAAACCAGTTTTCAAACAGTATCAATATAAATCTTTTCTTTACCAGAGAAAGACCATCCCCCCCCCCCCCCATCTCCATGATGCCCTTCTCACTACATGAATCAATCGAGGTGAACTTACTGAGTGATTTTGCGACTGACAGGTCTTGGTGCATGTATGAGATAGCCTTCTCCGTGTTTCCGAGGCCCCAGTGCGCACTGCTCAACGCCGAGAAGACAGAGCCTCGTAGCTTCAGACTACTTGAACCTGAAAGTGAGGAAAGAAGTTGACAAAGAATTTATAGAAATGTGTGGTGGTAATTGCATCCAAAATATTTGTAGTTACATTTTGATTTGCACAGGCGTATATATGTATATATTCAAACTCAGTGATATTCTATTTCATTACTTCTTCTTTGAAGGTAAACTGGCCCACTTGATCTAAAATGACAGGAAAAGATGCTATATAAAGAAATTAATTAATTGATCATTCATCAAAATATAGTGATATTTGTTCTGTTCCAAGCTTATTTCGATACGGTCTCCTGATGTTGATTATACCTCTCTTGCTATCCACATCTTTTTCTACTTCTTTATCCCCTTTCCTCTTCCTCCCAATCTTCCTCTTGAAATCTCTTCCCACCCCCCCCCCCCCCCCCCCTCTCTCTCTCTCATTCTCTCCCCTTCTCTGTCTCTCTGTCTCTCTGTCTCTCTGTCTCTCTCTCCCTCTTTCTTTCTATCTATCTCTGGCTCTCTCTCTCTCTCTCAGAGTCTCTTTCTGTCCCCCAACTACTCTCAACTACACTTATAACCACACCCCTCCATCCTCTCTCTTTCTCTCTCATTCTCTCCCCTTGCTCTCTCTCTCTCTCTCTCTCTCTCTCTCTCTCCCTCTTTCTTTTTATCTTTCTCTCTCTCTCAGTTTCTCTCTGCCCCCTTCAACTACACTATAATCACACCCCTCCATCCTCCCAACTTCTCCCTCGTCTTCCAAACACCCTCAACACCCTTGTCGGTCCCATCCACTCCTTCCTCCCTACCCTTCAAAGGTCTCTCCTCCACCCTAGAACCCTCATCTTCAAGCCTAAAGCTCATTAGTCACCAATACTTCAATCTCCAAAGTAGAGCATCAAGTACAAAGGGGAGACACAGCTGCTAGCTTCAATGGTGTTCCAAGTATTTTTGTATGTTAAGAGCCGTTTCTAAGCCGTATACTGTTCATGATAATACATGATAATAGACAGTACAATGAACTCTACAACTTTAAGCCCAATGCTGTACACATTTTGAATATTCACCTCGTTAAAAAAAGTACTCTTGAGCTTTTCCAACTTTGCAACCTATGACAAGAGCCATTTCTGGAATACGTTTAGTCCATAAAGTTACTCAAGTGTTATTCAGCTGTGCTCCCCATTTTTACACCTTCCAACTTTTATTTCAAAGACCTACATCTATACAGTGTCAATCCAAATATAGCTCCAGTCATAAATAAACACAACAGGATAAGAATATATAGACTAAAGGCAGCTGGCTTTTGTAGATTCAGTTGTGAAAATTTCATAACTTTCCGATGCAGCCTAATTTTCATTGCCCCCCCCCCCCCCCTTTACAGCTCCAACGGTGCTCGATATTTCTGTCTCCTGTTAGGATTTCACTTTCACTCATTATCCCCATGCATCTAGTGTGTGATGGTATGATTGGGCAGTAGTGTATGAGTTAATCTCAACCGTTAATCAGCACAGCTTGAAGTATGAATGCTTGCGCAGCATAGAGCTTTGATGCTCACCGCTAGCCCTCAGCCATATGATCACTTATGACAAATTAATTAGCACGGGGCCAAGCTTTCATCTGAATTCACTTCACGGCCTGATTACGCCTCTACAACACTACGGGATTAGCTTCTAAACAACGTATGTAAATAAATATACAAGGGTGAGGAAAGCTCATTTTTATCTTTCTTTGGGAATTCAGACCAAGACTATCTATGCCTTTCTTTCCTTTCTGCTTCTATGTATATTTACCTAATTTTTTTATTTATTTCTTCTTCCTCTCAATCCTCTCCCTTTTCCAGTCCTCCGAGATCTAACACGATCTTCTCATACTAATTGACTTCAATCCCCAGTGATCTTACTTCTATTTATACTTTCCAAGTTACCTTCATTTTTATTTATTTCTTCTTTCTCTAAGTCCTCTCCCTTTCCAAGCCCTCCAAGATCTCACACATTCTCCTCATACTAATTTACCTCAATTCCCAGTGATCGTACTTCTATTTATACTTTCCAACTTACATTCATTTTCATTTATTTCTTTAGATCTCAAGCTGGTGCTCTAATGGTACTCCTCAAGTTTTCAACCTTAAAAAAAAAACCCTTTTTCTTTACTAACTAACTACCTTTGTTCATTTGATTTTACAACAGAAAATCAGAGGCAAAAATGCTCATAATTATAATCCCCCCTTTTCTCTTTATTTCCCAGTCAATTCTAGATCTTCTACTTATGGAACTTATGATGCTCAATACTTCAGAACAGCCTTAATTAATTGAATGTGATATATTCTCAATATTTCAGGGAAGCCTTTATTTATTGAATGTGATATTTTCTCAACTTATGTACTTTCTTACGACTCATCAACCCATCTGACAAGATTGAATTATGGGCATTAGATTGTACAAAATGAGTCTTTGGCACGCAAGACTGAAAGAGCGAGAGCAGTCTAATGAGGTGGACTAGATGATGGATGGTTTGTGTGATGGATAAACTTCTCAGGGATACAAGGTTTAAGATACTGAAATAGAAAGCTAGATCCAGAAAGAGAGACAGAGAGAAAGACAGACAGACAGACAGACAGAGAGAGAGAGACAGACAGAGAGAGAGACAAACAGACAGACAGAGACAAACAGACAGACAGATGGGCAGGGAGACAGAGAGAATCGGAGAGAAACAAGGAAAAAAGAAATAGAAGAGGCGATTGAAAGAGGGAGAGAGATACAAAACAGTGGAGAGGAAGACTAGGAAAGAGACACAGAGAGACACAGAGAGATGTAGAGGGACAAGAAGTGGGAACTAAATACAAGCAATATGAAGAAGAGGAAGAAAGAGTGGGAGATGGGAGGGAACAAGAGGGGAGAGAACAAGAGGGGAGAGAAATGCAGAAAATGAGATGCAGAAATAGATACAAGAGAAAGAGAATGAGAGAAATGAGGTGAGAAAGAGAGACAGACAGAGACAGGACAACCCCCCCCCCCCCCCTGTGAAAAACAGCACTTGTGTTGGTACGGATGCCCCATCCGACAAGCGGTAAATACAACAACAAAATAAAGAGAGAGAGAGAAAGAGAGAAACTAATAGAGAAAGAGAGGGAGAGGCAGACAGATGCAGAGACAGAGAGAGAGATAGGTGGATGTACGCAGGAAAAGACGATGACGAAAGGCCACTCTCTCCAGTTTATCCGAGCAAGTTCACATGCACTGTCCTTCGGTGAAGTCCTATTTGCATGGATGGACCCTGTCTGTCTAGCTGGGTGTGAAAGCAAAGGCTTATAGGTGATGATGCATGAAGGAAGGAGATAGAAAATGGTGTCAGGAGTGGGATCGGATGACTCTGATGGTCATCGTCATGGTGATGCTGATGGTCATCGCCATAGTGATGCTGATGCAAACCTGCGGCCGACATCTTGAATATTCACAAACATGCAGGTGATTGAAATGATCCGGCAATGGAAATGGACGAGGGTGTAATTTAAATTCCATAATCTAATAAAACTGAGAACATTCTGATGTATTACTATCTGTTATAGCCATATATATCAATCCTTGTTTAAACTGCTGTGGAAGTAAATTTGGCACTTTAGAATGATGAACTTCAATTATTTTCTGAAATTGACAAATGATTCCAATTAGTAATGGAGGACAACATTCATTACATCAAGGTTGTTTCACATAAAAAAAAAATTATGATTTATAGTCCCTAGCTGACAGTCATGCAAAAGTATCCATTTTTCATCACCTGAAACGTGACCCCACAATGAGTACACGTACTGTTTAGAGCAACTAACTACCAACTACCCCCCTCCCGATCCCAAACATAGAAATTCATTTAATGATAACAGTAGATGATAAGCAGTAAATCATAGGTATTGTGAAATAATATAAGACCTCTAGGGAAATCATGAAGTCCTTAACAGCCCGAAAAAGAAATTTGATCATCACCAAATTACGAGTATGTAAGCCTACGTTATACAGGCATGTCTGTAAGTGCATTTTTTTTTGTAACCATCGTTACCATCCTTATTCCAAAATTCTGCTTCTGTAACGTTGTTCCGGTATACATGTATATGTAAATGTATTTGCTTTACAATATATATCTGACTACTGAATGAAAAGGACATTAACTCATTTAGACTAACCTTATTAAAAACCCGAGTCCTACAAAACTATGAGAGCAATAATAGATTTTGAAGATTCAGCATTCAACTACCTTTAATATTAAAAAACTGAAATTAAGTAATATGAATTTGTCCTCTCTTATAATCTCATTATTGGTTGCTCAAAAACAAAAGCAAAACAGAAATTAAAAATCTGCTCCATCAAAAAGCACAGAATGAGATCTAGAATCCCCAAGAGGCTCCCTGTACACATGCCCCTCCCCCCCCCCAAAAAAAAGATTAAATTTGGCCCAATATATAAACCCGGAGCCCCTGGGAGAAAAAAATAGTGTGGATATATACCTGCCTTCTAGTAGATTGGTAAAAAATTAGAGAAAATTTTGTAATAATGAAATAATATGGAGTAAGCCAAGGGCATGCATTATTTGAATATAAATGGGCCATTAGGTTCTAACAGTAGATGGTATGTGAGGTAAGACAATGTTTTTAATGGAATTTGACATGCTCTGATAGCTGATAATGAGAATAAATTGATTAGGAACTTTTTTCTCTCACTATCTTTCATACACCATCGCTCTATTCTCACACTTTCTGTCTGTCTGTCTGTCTCTCTCTCTCTCTCTGTCCGTCTCTGTCTTGTCTGTCTGTCTCTCTCTTCCTCTCTCACACTTTTACAATTTTTAACACAAATATCCCTCAAGTTGTTCCTTTCATACAAAAAAAAAGTAACTTGATATAAAACTCCTTGATATTTACAACATTCACCTCTTTGTCACTCACCCCGTAGCTGCTAAGCTTCAGCTATAAAACAAAGACTGTACTTGAATTTTACATAAAGTTTTAAAAATAAATACCCAAGATGGAACAAAAGTGAATTGAAATGTCAATTTATATCACTTTCGAAAGAAAATGTACGTACTAGGGTTTGGTCCCTCTGTACTTTTTATAAATGAAATCTCATTTTCCAATAATGACATTTGTCATAATTATCATCAGTGTAATAATAATAATATCCATTTCTTATAAAGTGCTTTACTAGTTCAACATAACCGACCAAAGCGTTTACAATAGTTAGTATTTAGTTTAACGAGACTCCCTTAGCATTAACCACTCTTATCATACAAATTCATAACAAGTTAAAGGCATAAATATTCTTAATGAATGAACACCCAATCACAAACAGACAACAACAACAACCTTACCTATCTTGAGTGCAGACTCCAGAACGACCAATGAGGATGCATGATAGCCGGCGGCTAGGAGCTCTTGACCAATCACGGAGATGATTACAAACGGACTCTTATCCAGGTTCATAGAGACTAGCTGCTTGTAGGTCGGCTCGAAGTTGTCTGAATTTAGATGTGGAGAAAAAGGAGAATGATATTGGGTTAGATTGAAGTCTCACAACTGTGTTGGAAAGGGACATTGAGTTACAATCAAATAAAAATAAGAATAAGAATGAGAATGAATACAGACTTTGTTTTAGGTGTCCAGTTCACGAATATGAAATTAGGGTTTTGAAACAAGCATTTCTCAAGCGATAGGACTTTGATGGAAATAATCTTGTATCGCACGTCACTCACATAGATAATCAGCATATTTAGAAAGATTAAGACTTTATAACCAGCTTATTTATACCAAATGTAGGAATAGAAGTTGGCATGGTTTGTATTTTTGTTCTCTTACAAAATATAAGCAAACTGTACCAAAATGTGGACACAATTTTAAGGCAAGTTGTTTAAAAAAAATCTTATATTGAACATAAGAGTCATTCGTACTTCTTCACATTGAAATATATAAAATGAAAAATAAACAGCATTTCATATTGTTATTGTATTATGAATATAATCGTAATGTTGCCGAGAGATATTTTTTTTCTGCTTGTCGGTAAAATCATAGTGAGCTCCCCCGCCCCGCCCCCCCCCCATATTTGTTCACATTTAAATATGTTTAAAATGAAAAATAAACAGCATTTCATATTGTTATTGTTATTATAAAGATAATCGTAATGTTGCCGAGAGATATTTTTTCTGCTTGTCGGTAAAATCATAGTGAGCTCCCCCGCCCCGCCCCCCCCCCATATTTGTTCACATTTAAATATGTTTAAAATGAAAAATAAACAGCATTTTATATTGTTATTGTTATTATAAAGATAATCGTAATGTTGCTGAGAGATATTTTTTCTGCGTGTCGGTTAAAATCGCGGTGAGCCAGCCCCCTGCAGGCTAGGCAGTTTCAATCCAATCAGAAGAAAAAGCCAGATACCCTTTCATTCTCCAGCTTTTCTCTTCCCCCAAGGGAAAGCAGGAGAAAAATTCTATGAATTGTGGTAATCACTTGAATCCCGTGAAAAGCCACAAAACTAAAAAAGTAACTTTATGATTTTCATTTCATTTCACTTTGGTGGTTTTCACTTTTCGTTCAGGGAGAGAGCCACAGGGAGAAAATGCAGTGGGACTAAAGAAAGAAGTGAATGCCTCTTTTTGGCAAACCAAAACAACTAAATTCAAAGAGTTGACCAGCGTGCCTGGATTAGCATGTATATTATTTAAGTATACATTTAGTAGAAGGGTACAAATGCATTTTTTTTTGTATTTTTAAATTTTTTAATAAAATGGTAACAAAATACAGTAGAGTACAGTCAAACCTGTCTATAAAGGTCACTCGGGAGAAACAGAGAAAGTGGCCACTGTCAACAGGTGGCCTTTCTAGACAGGGTCTACAACATACAATTCTTTCTCAAGGGTGACAAACACATGTCCACTATAGACAGGTGGCCTTTACAGACAGTTACAGACAGTTTTTACTGTATTTAAGACTAAACAATGTTTTAAGCCTCGGTCACAAATACCGTTACGGGCTGCTACGAAGGCTTTTCAGACAATGGAAAAACAGGGAGATTCGTACGAAATAATCGTTCTTATGAACCTTTGTGACCGTAGCTTTACATATTTGATGACACAAAGACAATACATGGATGGAAATGTGTGGTGTAGATGTAGTAAATATGATATTTAAAAACTCCAAATATAAAAAAATCCCCAAGACTTTCAAAATATCCAGGCTACTTAGTTGTAGCTTTGTCCATTATCTACTGACAAGTGCGAACATTACAACGATGTACTATGTAATCCCAACACAGTTTCTATGGGAGATAAAATAGGGTATTGAACTTCGCCTCAAGTTGATTTCTCACAAGTCATTTACGATCGTGTTATGTACATTTCGTAAAGTACATCCACTAGCCATGCATCTGTTTATGCCCTACTGCTTGGCACACAACAACCTCCAGACAGCAAATAATAAAAGAAAAATTCTTTAGACAGTTGACAAGCATATCTTGATCAGCATGTCAATGTGTTTGGCGCCACAAGGATGTTAACTGTGTGTTAAAGTATATGAATAAAAGCCCTTCTGGCTCCAAACACACAATGTACATTTGGAGATGTTTTAATCGCACTTCCCCATTCCATTTTTGCAGCAAAAGTCCATAAATCGACTTCATAAATGTCCGATCGCTCATGAATTAAACAATTCAGCCATCATATCCCCCCCCCCCCCCTTTAGAGTGCATCTATGAAGTCATAAATATTTGAACACATGAACCTTGCTTTGGGGGTCTGGGAGATGGCAATTTCCTTGCTCACTCGCTCGACTCTTTAGGGGCTTGCAATTCTACATTGTCGATCAATGATACATGATAAGCAGTAGAGTACAGAGGAGGCATTAAAAACAGGTTCATCGTAAATTTCAAACTCAACGAACTGCCTCAAACTACTGGAACTGTGAATTTTGAAAGACATGAAGAACAAAATTGTCTTCTGGCGTCAGAATTTAAAGGACAAGTTTCTTTCCAGCATGAGGTACAAAATCATAATAATATTCTTGATTAGCAATCTATATTTATGTTTGTCTTGTTTTGTGATGTTTCTTCTTTAAACCATTTTCATTGTTCTAATACCCATCTAGCCCTGCAATAGAATCACCTAGCACAGATTTATATTATTTATATCATATTATTCTGATTTTCTTATTGTTTACAGGAATGATTGTTTACAGGAATGATTGATTCATCAACTAATGGCTTGCCTTAAAATTCATCCATTTGATAATGATCTATAACCATTAATCTACACTAGTTAGAAACAATTTTATTGTTCTTAATTCCCTAATGAATATGCTCGCCTTATAAAGTTATCTGCCTCTTATTATCATTATCAATATATTTGGTAAACAGTCATCTATGGCTTTTGTATGAATTCTGTCGATGACATAGATTTTCAGTGAAAGTACAAGTACCATAAAATTTAAAAAACGCACACACAGACACACACAAAAAAGGGCAATTTCTATCAGTACAATAACACAATACATACCCAATGCCAAATTTAATTGCTACTTTTCTTCCTACAAATGGAAAATGCATTATGTAAAGGAAAATAATATATTTTCAAGACCATGTAGACATGTAGTAAGTAGGGCTCACATGCCTTGGATATTGTTTGTGTAAGTTGCAGTGCTTGGCAACTGACACTATTCCGTTTCCGCAGCACGGATCACCTTACGCGTAGATTTACCCAATCATTCCGCTAGCTTGGGGACAGATCAACAAATAATTTGATTGCTTGCGACACTGTTATTATTATTAAGAGTGGCGAGAGTTGTAATGACGAATCGAATCGCCACTGAGAGTGAGAGAACAGACTTTACCATGGCATACATCCAGATCATTTCTTGAATGTCTGTAGATTTATGTATTGTTTAAAAAAATGATCATTGTCAATGAAGTATGTTGTGCTACATATTTGGGGTTTCATGCCGCTATATAATGTATTCAAACTTATCAGTTTCGTGTTTGTTTCAGTAAAGAGATATTGTATGTTTGAATAACACACTACTCACTAGATAATGAGAAAGGCAACTTGTGACTAGAGTAGTCAATGCTCTCTCTCTCTCTCTCTCACACACACACACACACACTCACACAATTGTACAAGTTTACTCTGAGTTGAACCAGCCTTATGGGCCTTGATATAAGATCTCACCCCCCCCCCCCCCACCCCCCGAATGCTCTATAGAATCCTAAACCACTTGATTCTTGAATATCTCATTTTGACTTTTGGGTGTATATGTCTTCATCCATATCCAATTCATTTTTTTTTTGTGAGTGGTTCCATTCAACTGAATATGATAGTGACAGATTCCTACATAGCCTCGCTGCGTCCATACAAATTGGTGACCTTACATGTAATTCATAAGATATAAAAAATATATAAAATAAATCCTAATTGTTACTATTAAAAAATATCCTGTCCATTTTTTTTTCCTTCTGTTTTTTTCCTAATTCTTTGTGGCTTTCCTTCAAGGGATTAGGGAGAAAGGGAAAATCCCTCATCTGACACCTTTGTCTTGTGCTATATGAGCAATGGCTTCAATAATCTAAAAAGAAAAACCATCTGCTCTTTTTCTTCAAGGTGTAATTATCATAAAAATGAATATGTTATTGTCCCAAACTCTTGCATGCAATTTTTTTTGTTCAATTCAGTTGGCTCGAGAAGCCGAAATAATGTCAGCTGAGCACAAGAAGGGCAATCATGTCATTTGCACACAGCTAATGCCTTACTGACTCTCAGCAGACGATATCATCTGTTTGGAACCATAAGGGCATCAACTCATATACTTTAATACAGAGTTAATACCCTTCTGGCTCTGAAAAACCAACAATAAGTGCCAGTAATGTTTCTGAGTGGTGCAGTCTTCAATATGAAATCCAAACAGAATTATAGACAGACGCACAGCAAATTATTAAAAATAGAATTCATGTGAAGGCTTATAAAGAGGTAGCAAAGAAAATGAAGAGCCAAGACAAGGAGAAAGGACATGGGAAGATGGAGAGAGGTGGGAGCACATTGATCACGGGCAATTTCCACTCCATTTCATGTTGACATTACCTGGAGGCATACATTAACCTAATCCATCAAATGTGCATTCATGATGAATACATTCTTGTATCTGGAACATCCTCTCCCCTTTGTGCTTGTATTTCATGCTTATTTCCACTTTCACTGTGCCATCTGCCTTATGTTTGTGTGTGATTTCTTCATCTATGATGGTGCTGTCTGGGTTTTTATAATTTCTTCACTTTCTGCTCAGCTTCACAATTTTTATTTTTAAATCCTGCCTCTCCCCCTTTTCTGGCTCTTCATCTACCTTTAACTATCCTTCCCGTTCTCTCTGAAATTTCTCTTTTTTTATTATCCTCCACCCTTTCAATCATTCCTTTGACAGCTTAACCTTTCATTTCCGTCAATTTTCTTCCTGAATTTTTTTCTTATTTGATTAAAATATCCCTCTTTCTCTACATAAATGTATTTGCTTCTTATAGTTTCTTTTCCCCTCCCTTATTAATCTCTTTGTCCCTTACAACCCCCCCCCCCTCTCTCTCTCTCTCTAATGTCTTCTTACTACAATTTATATCTGTTGTTAATTATCTCAATCCCTCACTCTATCTTTCTTTCTCTATCTCCAACATTCTCTCATTCCAGTCGGACAGGCCCATCATTAAACTACCTATAGTTGGACAGAACATTTCAAAATGAACCAAAACCTTTTGCATTTAGCTAAAGGATTGCCTTACATTATTGGATATGTTATACCGGTACCTCCATCTGTCTGGATCATTGTATGCAACCTGGACCAGGTGTGAATTTGGTCCAAGACCTCGGTCGGTATCATGTGGTCATTTATGTGTCACATGACCTCTAGGCAATAATGATTGCGGAAATGTTCCTGTACTATTTAGTTAGTTATATTAGTTTCGTTTTTAATTGACTACAGAGGAACTACATTTTTAATCATGCAGCACATTTTTCTTTCTCAGTTACTTTTGATGTAGCTGATTTATTTACACACACATACATACACATACAGACAATTTTTTTCTTCTCAAAGATGACTTAAGTTGTCACTTTGTGGTACCAAAAGGTTAATAATGAAACTTGGATTGGTAACTCTAGTTTAAGAAAACCAAATGATTAGTGAGTATATGTTAGCAATCTATATTTGTAAACAAAACCTTTGACATCTTTTGAAAACAATAACAAGAATTACCACTAACTTCTTAAATGCACCCTCTTTCAATACTAAAATATCATCATTTCCTTTTAGGATTCCTGGAAAGCCTTTTATCTCACATTCAAAGACAGACCGATAGAACAGAAATTCTTCTACTTCAATAAACAGGTAAAAATAAGTGGTACTTAAAGAGAACTAATTAAAGAGATTGGGTATCTTTGTCTCAGATTCTGAAACAATATCCTGGATTAAGCTCATGCTGCAATAATTATAAACCTTGAGGTCAGTCTGGGATCACATGACTTTTACAAGCCGATCGCCTGTCTGATTATCAAGATATCTATGATTGGAAATCGAAATTTCAAAAAAAGTTTTCCTAACGGTTTTCATAACACTAGAGTCTATTATGGAAAATGAGTATGGTAAAACCGGTCACTCAACACTTTTTTGAGGCACTTCATGATCATTTTGAAATGCAATATTTTAGAGCTTCAATATTACATTATATCACAGACACTGATAACACGTAGAGTCGTGCATCTGAGATTTAACATTGTCAAACAATGCCTTTAAGATGCAACACGCAAGATAAACAAATTGTTACCTTTGAGTGGTGACTTGACAGCCGCTTCCACAAGACCAGCCAGGAGCTGAAGACTCTTGGGATCCTGGGCCAGACCGGAGGAAAATGCAGCCAACGCATCGGCATGGCGACCAAGACACTGCAGGGCCACACCCTGACGATAATAGGCCTGGAAAATGAAAGAAAAAGGAAGAAATCACAGGTTTAGATGGTATAGTTCAACGTGTCTTGAATTAACAGGTTTGAGGTAACCTATGTCACACATTTTGGGATGCTCTTCAGCACCATGCAGGACAAGGCTGATATTAGGGTGATGACCAAGACACTGTAGGGCAACACCCTGATATAATAGGCTTGGATATCGAAAGAAGAGAATTATGATTTCAGATGCTGATGCAGGAAATGTTAATAGGAGTATTCGTAGGATAACCTGACAATCAGGCATGCCCTGAAAATAATAGCATGTGACCATACAATGCTAAAAATGCTTTTATTTTTTCTTGATGTAGTGCTACATGATTTTTTAATGAAAAAGATTCATCTCCAAAACTCTCTGGCATGTAATTTTGAAGGCATTGCTGTAACACTCAAAGTACTGCGGAGTTAAGCCCTTTTAATAATTACCCTGCATAAAAATAACAAAATGTTAGATAACAAAGGCCAAACATATTTCTGCCAACATGATGTGTCATTAAAGCTTAATTTACAAATTACAACATAGTACAACATGCCATTACCAAGGCAACTGCAAGGCCATACTCTGGCTATAATTCTCTTTGAGAAAAAAAATGGAAGAAAATTATAATTTAAGAGTATAGGAATAATGAGTGATGCTATCTGGGAGTTAACTTTACAAAGCACGTCATGAGATAATTATTGGCAAGGTGTTGGCATAGCAACAGATACAATTTACGACCTTCCATTGTGATAGTAGGCTCGTGAAAAAGATATCTTGCATCTTAAGATTTCACTAGGAAATCATGGGAACACTATCAAATGATTCACAAGGCCATTTAAATTGTACATTAAAAATGATAAAAAGATAAACAAAACATCCAGGAGAGATTATTTTGTTTGAATTATTGTTCATAATTTCATATCAAAATCTCATTTGCATAGAAAAGACAAAAGTAGATGAAGTTAATCCTTATTATGCACCATTATTATGAAACTTTCAACCTATTCTTCACACTAATTCCAATGAACAGTATTCCACTTGTATATGGCATAAAGATAGTTAATAACATTAATTTACATCTTGTGCATTACTTGCTAAATTGTGTTCTTCAAAATCTATTGCACAATGCAACAAAATCTTTGAATGTTATACTTGACCTTCAAAGAAAAGGCTTTTGAATTCAGGTTTGTGAATTATTACTCCACATTTCACACAAGCATGTTGAATTACTTTCCATTTTCTTATCACGGCGTCATCTCTTCAAAGATTGATACGCGCATCACAAACTAGCTCGGACAGGCGCAAATTAGCCAGCTATTTTCCAAATAGCGGCATATTTCGGTAACAAGACCAAATTTCTCAGGTTTTTTTCTAGACCAAATATTGTGCTAATTGCAACTGCGGGCTGATGGAGACAGGCCTAATGACCTAAATTCGAAGGAAAAAGAAGTGTCTTTAATTATTTTCCGTATCTTATCGCAGCAGTCGTCCATCTTCTAAGATTGAATAATCTAGACGAGACATTGACCTAAAATCGAAAGAGACTGTCGGGACAGCTTCTGCTTAATGGAATCGAATTGCAAGTAAATTGAGCCCCTGTCTTGTTTAATCTAATTCCCGGTAGACTGATTCGCTACAAGTATAAGGCCCCATCTCTCACACATACTGTACCACTGATTACAATTTGGTCGGATGAGAGACAAAAGGGCATTAACACCATACTAACTGTTTCCCGTTTGGTATGAACATGGACCTTTAACATCGTTTGACTAACAAAACATGTAAAAGACTGCTTTGGTCTACTTCTACATTTTCAAACTTTGGAGCATATTTCCTGTTTTGAGCCAGAAAGGCGTCAACTCATACACTTAACACCCAGTTAACACCATTCTGGCTCTAGACAGATGATTTCAAGTTTTTGAGAGCCAGAAGACTATTAACTGTGTCTAAAAGAATAAGATTTAACACCCTTATGACTCCAAACAGACAATACAATGGCAGTCCAGAGAGTTAAAGGATGAGGGTTAACACCCCTCTGACTCTCAGCTGACAATATGTCATATCTCCTTCTATTCTCAGTGTCATTTGTGTCATGATGTCCAGAGTCCATTTTTGGAGAGGGGGGGGGGGGGGGGGGGGGATCCATCCATATTTGGTCAATAATCTCTATGGCCATTAAGATTTATAATGAAAGAATGTGAGAAGAATTTTCTATATTAGATTATGAATAGGGAAAATTACTCAAATTTCTCAAGTATAGCAAGGCAGCAAGAAGTATTATGTATTATCTCATACCATCTGTTCTTTCATGTCTATTATACTGAATTGACCAGAGGAGAAATAGAATGTTTAACAACACCCTTTTTGTTTTTCATATTATCAGCAAGATTGTGTGCTATCCACCGCAGTGCATACCATAATTACCAGGAGTGTAAGACATTGACTTTGTATATTTTTAGTGTTCCATTGTATGTGTGGTAGAGGATAGAAATGATATGATGAGCACTTAATCTCCAGCTAAAGCTACAGTCCCATATACGTCCCGGACCGTCCCGGACCATCCCGGACCCCATCCGGGGTGATCCGGGATTCGGTCCGTGTTGACACCGTGTTGGCACCGGGGTGGTCCTGGATGGTCCTGGATGGTCCTGGATGGTCCTGGATGGTCCTGGGCGGTCCGGGAGTCGACCCCGGATGTTTTTGACGGTCAAAAACTGCCGGGATGGTCCGGGACGGTCCGGGACAATAGTTTGATCTGGGGTGATCCGTGTAGCCACCGTGCTGGGTCCGGGGTCATCCGTAGTGGCACCGGGGCGGTCCGTGTTGATCCGTGGCAGTCCGGGAGTGAGTTATTGACCGCCCAGGACCATCCAGGACCATCCAGGACCATCCAGGACCATCCAGGACCACCCCAGTGCCAACACGGTGTCAACACGGACCGAATCCCGGATCACCCCGGATGGGGTCCGGGATGGTCCGGGACGGTCCGGGACGTATATGGGACTGTAGCTTAAAAGCATCACACTTTTTTGAACAAAACATCCCGGACCATCCCGGATCACCCCAGACCATGGTCCGGGATGGTCCGGAGTGGTCCGTGCTCGTCCGTGCTGGTCCGGCTTTATATGGGACTGGGGCTTAAGAGATGACCACAAATATTTTATCACGCTATCACTCAGATGACCATGTATGACCATCCCATCATCACAGAACCTGTCCATCTTAATCCCTCGAATATTAAAGACAGTAGCTCTAGGAAAAACTAGAACAAAAAGTTTGTAGGACACAAAGGGCAACTCCATGCTTTAGATTATGATATAATAATAATAGTCTTTTATATCATGTATTAATTTGGAGATAATGGTATACAATTTTCATCACTGTAATGTTTGAACGTTTTAAGTTCGGTGATTGACAAGGCTATTGATAATTAGGTAGATTTTTAAATATTTTTCTCTGTGATCATGTCTTTTCATAAAAACTTACAACATGCATTCATGGTAAGATTGTGGGGCAGGGTACATTAGCCATTAAATGATTTTTTTTTTTCTTAAATGACTAAGCGTGGGAAAATCATGAATGCACATTGATAAGAGACATCAAATCATCATGTATGATGTTCTGGTAATTTTTCTTTAGCTGTGAGTCAAAAGAGCATTATCACTATAAAAGAAAACTAATGCACTCAAGCTCTTCGCATGTACATTCTAATCTCCATTCTCCAACGTTGTCACCTTACAAGCAGGTGCAGATGTAAACAAAGCAAAACAATACAAAAAAAGGGATAATGGATGTACATAGCGTTATAATAATCGATAAGTCACGTTCGGCGTAGGGTTGATCTTTGTTAGAATCGTGCCAGGGCGTTGACTGAAAATCACGGAATCCATAATGGAAAGTCAGAGTCGTAGATGATGAGCTGCGCAAGGTTATTAGTGGTGCATTTACACGATCGTAAATCTATTTTTTATCTAGCCTTTTTATTGATCACGAATTACCCCAGCTATGACGATCAGGTCATAAAAGACAGGGAAATTGTTAGTATTTGACCTAATTTGACTTGCCTATATTTTAGCCATAAAAAAATACAAGTTAAATGATAGATGGTACTTTCACTCTAATATAGATCTATTTCTTTTTCGCCCTACTTATTGCTAATAAAAAAAATAAAAAATGTAATCAAGTCAAATGACAGGTGAATCAGTGATAAATGACCTAAATTTATTTTCAATATGTTACACATTATGAAACTTATTTCAACAAGTGCAAATTTTTTTTTTTTTTCTTTCTTCATGCTGATTTCTTCACGGTTAAAAGTACTAATCAACTTTTGAAATACATGGTGAAAAACATCTATCCATAAAAGGTGAAGGAAAGCAAGATTAAATGGGAGGCAAAAATTGAGAGGACTTCTTTGAATGTACTCATTGTTATCATGATATCAGCAATTTACAGGGTCATTCATACTATGGTACAAATAGAATTCTCACCTTTTCTATCAAGATATTTTTGTGACAGTTTTCTTTGTAAATTTCAGAGATGTTTATTCCTTCAATACATTCTCAGACAAATCAATAAACAATTAAAACTTCTTTCAGCACAATGTCCAAATGTTTAACGATATCATTTAATGATTTAATCTTTGAAAATCGATCTTAAAATAAGAATGGGATAGTGTGAAAGCCCCCCAGGGAAGTCTGGAAGCCTACAAAAGTGTTATGGGGGTATTGTGATTATCAGATGGGGACTCTTCGCCCCCCTTAGCAGGGGGTATCAAGTTCATCAATGAATCCACAATCAGGCTTTTACGATGACGCTATAAATGATGACCTCTATAGATGTGCTACATGTCAAACTTGAATGCCATCCGGTATTGATTGAAATAAAAAAGAACATTGTGAAGTTCTACAATCACTGCATGAGTGCCAGCAAGAAGACGCCAACAAGAGTATTACTGTGTAGGGAGAGGAGTCAAAACTGAAATCTATCTGGTATACATTTATTGAAAGGATAAAAGAATAATGTGATGTTGTTTAATCGTCGAGCTTGGGAGAAGACGCCAGAAGGAGTTAATTTGTAGACGACAGAGGTGCGAAGGATTATCCTCACAGACATCTACTACAAATATCAGAGCAGTGAAATTGCATTGTGCTGGTGATGGTGGTTATTGTGGTGTAGGAAAGAGACATTGACAATCATATCAATCTTTTAAAGTATTCAGCACTTGTCATAGATGCTCATTTAATACAATGTACATATATGTAGGGATAGTGCTTTTAGGTAATAATTCTGACCTAGTTTTCTGTATAATAGATCAATAAAATGCAGTACATGGTAGACTTTCAATATATAATTTGCTCATGTAGGCCAGTGTTTCAGGGCACATCGAAATTTGTAACTGTCCATTAATAAGCTGTCTGAATCAATTGCACAGCAAACAAAATAAAACAGCATAATCTCATTAGCAAAGGGATCGCTCAATTAATAAAATGTTATTTCATTACATACATGTACCTAATGTCAATTAAAAAGTAAAAAGAATTCAATTACGATTGATCCATGTTGCTTTTGATATTAACAGATGTTCACGGGTTTTGCCACAAAATATCTTCCCTTTCTTTTCCCCATTTCAGGACATAATTATATTTTTACCAAATTGAGATATTCTGGCTTGGTTAGACGAAATTGATTTCCAGTCCCGATGACTAATAAAATTCAATTTCGGGACTGCATCTGCACCCTAATTGTCATGTTCAAGTGCTTTTTATTAAATTGTAAATTCATGTCATGAAATATTGATGATATGTTCACCACACTATTTCCGTCGTATAAATTGAGTGCCTCGTATTAAGTCTAACACTGAAGTAACCCAATATGGGCAAACTACAAAAAAAGTCAAGTTAATAGAAATTTAAAATGGGGTCCTTCTGACAGTTCATTTCATGTCAAATTGCATGGCTATCTTCCTTTCTCTCTATCTTACAACAAAACTTCCTATGAAAAATGTGACAGCAAAGACTTGCTATTCAACCTAACCCTTTCCCTCAAAAAAAAAATCCCTTCTTGTCCTTGTTGCAGGTTCTAGTTCTTTTTACCCACCCATCTTTATTCTCTTTTGCTCTTTCAGTTAAAAATCCTATTGCAAAGTATTATTATTATTTTTTTAATTTTTTTAATATATATTTTTTTTTGGGGGGGGAGGGGGGGGGGGTCAATATTTCCCCTTCACCATCCAATCTCCGTAACATCTGTTCAGAGTTCAGAGCCAGAAGAACTTAAACTCTGTTTTAAAGTTTATATGAGTTAACACCCTTCTAGCTCCAAACTGATGATTTCTTCTCTTTTTCATTAATAATCCTACTACCAAATCCAAATAACATATTTAAAGGTAAAGACCAGTTATGGTCATGCGATTGCATTGTGAAAGAAACGTTGTGGAATCGATCAGAAAAGGTTGATCATCTAGCATCTAGCATCTGCAAGGTTCTGGAATCATCAAAATGATAAGAAATTTGGCCCATTCTTCGTAAAGTTACAAGCACTATACACAGAAATATGTATATGGGACTACCCTATATCTCTCACAGACCAAATATATGAATTAGTAGGCGGTTTCCCTGCAAATTTTTTATCATCATGTATTAGTCAAAACATATTCTTTCACATGATTGGTAATGAGAGCTTCCATTTATTTTTTTGAAATTGGGGCGTTTCCAATACTGGTCTTTACCTTTAAATTTAAACAAGAATTTTTCTCACATCCCGGTACTGTAAAATGTTGCTATCCCTTCTACATTTTTTAAGGGCCCTTTCAACAAGTACTGCTCTCTGAGTAACTCAACACATTTGATGCTCCCAGCGCAAATAAATTACAGAGTTTAGGATTTCCTATAGTAAGAACGCCTCGCGTAGGTAAGCGCTCCTTAATTGAGATTGAATGGCCAAGTTGGCAACACCTCGGAGAGATTCCAATTCCCTACGACTTTTCGTCAATTTCCAAAGACTGTAACTCAAGATTTTTTTCCAACTATAAGAATGATAAGAGATAGCTTTGGTTTCTATCGGCTTTGAAACGGAAGCCAACGTTCAATACTAAATGTATTACTTGCAATAAAGAGACTTTCTGCGTAGCATTTGGTATCATGATTATACGTCTAAGAAATGCATTGCCTGACTTTTTGAGATAAAGCCTTATGAAGGAAAAAATAAGTTGCCTAAACCATTATCAAGATGCAACCAGGAATATCGCAGTGATAAGAATCGGGAGACTATCATCAATGCTCAATGCAACATATATGAGAGGTCAATTTATGGAGCGTAATATTTTTAGTGTGACTTTTCTCTCCACCCTTATTATTTTTTTTTTTGGGGGGGGGGGGGGTTGAAGAGGGCGAGTACCGGTGGAGAGACATGACCGAATGGATGTACGGTCATCAACCGACTTCAGTGTGAAAAGTGTTTTGTTGTTAAATTGATAATTATGAATAGATTACAGAATATCCCCTAGACAGGATTCCCTTATAGTAATTGCCAAATTAAATACTGATACAATCTCATGCCTTTTTACCTCTCAATAAAACTCATTATTACCATGCTTGTACCCATGATCAGGGAGGTATTTTCACTGAATAGACGGTAATTACAGGTGGAAGCCCTGAAAGCTCAGGTGTGCATTCTCAATTCCACACAGGTGAAGTAAAATTATCGTTTTTCGCCACCAAGAACCTGCTTATATCGCGTTCAAAAGCAATTAAACCTGCACACGGGATAGGCATATAATGAACACAAGGCCCCCAGTACGGCTACCTTTTTTTCTCAAATTTTTCAGGGACTGAAAGAGACTTCTAATGCCGATCATTTTGTGAGGTATTGTTGTTTGGCAGATTTGGAACAATTTCTGTTTGACACGAATCATTACATGGCAAATCGACTGAGTGACCTGACTAAGATGAATGTAAGTAAAGGGATTGCTGAACGGGTTAGCCAAAGGAACTTGGGTTTCATCCATTGGTTCAATAGAGTTAATTTTTACAGTATGATTTTGGCAGGTAATATTTTGTCTTTTACAGCTACAAGAGCATTAACACTGTGTTATTAAATACAAGAGTTCATGCCCTTCTGGCTCAAAACAGATGATTTAGTGTTGACACGACGATCTCATTCACCTTTAAATAACTTAGAATAATCTTTGTGTTTAAGACACAGAGAGATAGAGAGAGAGAGAGACACACACACACACACAGAGAGACAGGGAGACAGAGAGACAGAGAGAGAGACAGAGAAATAGAAAGAGAGACAGAGAAAGTGAGACAGACACAGAGAAAGAAAGAGAGAGAGAAAGAGACAGACAGACACAGAGAAAGAAAGAAAGAGAGAGACAGAGAGACAGAGAGACAGAGAAAGAGAAAGAGAGACAGAGAAAGTGAGACAGACACAGAGAAAGAAAGAGAGAGAGAAAGAAAGAGACAGACAGACACAGAGAAAGAAAGAAAGAGAGAGAGAGAGACAGAGAGACAGAGAAAGAGTAAGAGAGACAGAGAAAGTGAGACAGACACAGAGAAAAAAAGAGAGAGAGAGAGAAAGAAAAAACAGACAGACACAGAGAAAGAAAGAGAGAGAGAGAGAGAGAGAGAGAGAAAGAGAGAGAGAGAAAGATTGAGAGGGAGAGGGAGAGGGAGAGAGGGAGAGAGAGACCTGGATAGAAGGAGAGAGAGGGGAGTGGAATGACCAGCAAGACACACACGTTTTTTGAGTGTTGATTGATCATGTATGAATTACAAACCGGACATGAAGACTTGAAGTGAGTAGGTACTCATTATTGGTGTCGTGAACACCATCAAGCACTGCTACTACTACTACAAACAAGTTTCCAAATTTAGAGAAAAGTCAATTGGAAATAGAACACGATACCCGCTAACATGAGTGGAGAGCACTGTTTTGGCGTCCCTTTACAGCTTACATGTAAATATCGCATGTGGTTGGCTCTAATTAGTGTAGCAATACAATGGATGGTGAATTTGAGGGAACTAAATTGGAATTGTAACACTTGAGTTACGAGCATATGGAAAGTAATACCATTGCTTTGTACAGCTACTAGTTTACCACCAACTTACAATTAGTTGAATAAAACATGAATTCTTAAGTCTTTAAGCAGCTGCCCCCCCCCTCCCCCCCCCCCAAAAAAAGAAAAAAAAAGAAAGAAGTGTCAATTAAAAGAATTATGATTATAAATAGTTATTCACTACATAAATTGCAGATAATTATAATATCATTGTTGACCCCAATTCATGTACATTTAGCTGACAACCTTACGGCCATTTGCAGATGATATCATTGAGATGCCAAAGGTCGTTGTGTCTGGCTTTCATATAGCCTCTTGAGAATCAAAAGGACATTCACTGATATACTGTAATATAGGATTAATGCCTTTCTAGCTGGCTCTCAACAGTAAATATAACCATGAGCCAGCTAGAGACATTTTGTTCTTCGATCAATGCAACTTATTTGAGGTTTAGTTCACTTGTGAGATATTACCTTTTTTGCTGGCTGCCATTTCATCATGCTTGTGTATCAGGGGCCTCCTCGCTAGAAATCCTCTATCACAAACCATTGGCAACTATTGCAAATTGGCAACTATTGTAAGATAGTTTCTTCAAGAGTACCATCACCCCAAATTAAATAAATTTCCAGGTCATCTTTGTAGAATTCTGGACGGAAATTCTCTCATATTGCATCAGAGAAATTCATCGTGGAAAGAATTCATGCAGGAATCTGCTGGTGTTATCTGGTTTATTAAATTACAAGTTAAGGAAGTTGAAGATAAGCTTTGAATGAATAGATGAACAGAAGTGCGACACCAAATCACTCATCAGATGTGAACAAACACATGAAGTTAAATATGAATAAATCCAAAATATGATTCCAGCGGGAGAGTTTAGCGATGAATACAAACATCCAAGTAATACTCCAGCGATCAAAACATAATATGAGCTCCCCGGAGACACTCTTAAAATAAATTCCTGTCAGAGATGTATACACATGTCTCTCCAAATTCCATAACTCATGGATGTTGCATGAAAATGATTTTTCCAGAAACAATCAGCTTCGACACAGTCGACGACGTCAGAGAAGATGCAAGGTGTACGTGAGAAATGTGCTAACTCCCTCCACCTGATTGCACTAATGAAAGAAGCATCGGTATACACGTCATAACAAAACCCTTCCTCTAATGAAAAAATCTCATAATAAAGTACAAGGATTCAATAATATGGGTCTATTATGAAGAGAATAGCTAATCTGTAATCCACTATCTATGCTTTATCAGATGTCGGTGACACTGTCATGATGATGATCCAATAAAGAGGAGAAAGATATTGCACACAATGCGCTCGGTTGAGCGAAAGACTGAATGAGAGAGCCGTGAATAGGTCGTGCCGATGTATCAATCAGGGTATTATTGTCTCAGCTCCGAGGGCTAGCTGTCGCTCTGCGATTCCCCGGACCGTTCTGCTCCCCCTTTCTGCTCGAGTTCCCACCAATGCTCTATTCTGTGCTAATTCACACGCTGCCTCGAGTCGTGCTGGCTGCGACGAGATGACGGTGACGGCAGTGCATGTGATGAATGCTTTGAATCTCCCTCTCTTTCTCTCCCACTTGCTTTTCTCCGGCTCTCTCTCTCCGCAAGCGAGGCAGCTATAGTCTCTGCCTTGTATTCCCTAATCGCTCTCTCTCTCTCTTTCCCTCTGTCTGCTAAAACTTCTAGGTGTTGTTTAGATCAAGTCTCATGCTTTGAATATCCCTCTCTTTCACCCCTCTTGCTTTTTTATTCTCTTTCACTCTCTCTCTTCCTTTTCCTCTCTCCCTCCTGAAACCTTAGGTGTTGTTTAGAGACTCGTGCTGCTCAGCTCCATGGCGGAGCAGCCCCCAAGTGAGCGAAATGACTTTCTGCTTTCTTATACGATGACCTCGGGAGGCCGGCATCAATCAACAGTTACAGAATACTTGAGGAGCGGGTCATCGGGCGACCTGAGACAACCACGGCATCGGTGCTAGCAACCAAAGATGCTTCTCTGTCTCTCTCTCTGTCTCACTCCCATCTCTCTCTAGTCTCTACAAGTCTCTCATGATCAAACGTGTGAAGAGGCTCTCCTAGAAGTGTGACAAATTAACCTCATTTGCTTCCAACTTCTGTCTCTCTAGGTTTCTGGAGGCAGGCACAAGGAGCAGGGTTGGCATCCTAACCAAAGTGGGGCTCCTAGACGACAGGAAAGGGATAACTTGAGGTGTCAGGCACTAGGGAGATGGATGGAGAGGGTACTCCCGTCCAGAAAGCAATAAAACGCTCTGAGACACTACTGGCATCAGAAAAACACTACAAGCCCTCCCCTCGCTGAATGCTGAGTAGATAACATCCACAACACACTATCTGTTTGCATACTTCATGCTTGTGATTTGAATGGTATAAGCGGGGACGAGCTAGTCTTCAACTCCAGACAATCTTTGCAAACTGAAATATTCATCCACCTTTCCTCACAGAAAGACAACTTAATTGATCAGTTCCAAAATAGTAAACAATGCCTTAGATTACTGGAAATTACTGACATTCTGATCAATTATCCAATGTCAAATATATTTATGAAGGTTTGAGCTAGGAGCTTCAACGAGACTGAACTGGGCTTGATAACACAACTACATCTCTGCTTGCTTGGAGACTAATCTCAATTTTCATTGATAAAGAAACTCTTCAGCCAATCAGAGTGCTTGACTAATAAAGTGGCTCCAGTCTGCTATGGCACCAGCCTCAACTATCAATCAACAATCACAGAGAGCTAAACAAATCACAGAGTGACAATTAATGCTCCCGAAAGACAATTTTACAGAAAAGGGAAAAACAATGTTTTTTTAAATCAACAACAGGAACTCGTACAGAAACCAGAGAGAATAAAGTCAATGTAGGGAATAAGACATACAAAAGAGCACTTTAACAGAAATGATTTGATGCTGCTTTGATGTATGAAAGTGGAAAATAATATGTGAAAACTAAATTAACAAAACAGGACAAAATACTGTTTATCCATACAGATGAATCTTAAAAGGCATATTCAAAATAAATTCTAGTGAAAATTCAAAATGGACTTCTGTTACTTTATTCACAATTGACTCAATATTCCAATAAATATATAATACAGGATGCTTTTTGAAATGATCTATAGATATACACTGTATGCTCCTAAAATCTCTCTTATCTGAAACTTTTTTCGAGATCTCCTTGAAATAGCATGGCACAATTCCTAATTCTTCTTTTTTTCCTTTATAAAATATAGTCGATTTTCTGAAGGGACTGATGTCCTACAGGTTGTTACACACCTTAGCTAAACATGTGAACCTGGTCATATAAACAGAAACACGATCCAGACTTGAACTTAGTTCACAGATGTCGCTACATACCTCACATACTTTGAATTGCTAACCCTCATTGCGAGCAAAGAGTCACAAATTTTCAAGTTTCGGGTCGGAAAGCCAGACACAAACTTTATGATTCCTGCAACTACAGGTACATTTCTTACCTGTATGAAAGTCACTGCACATCTCTAAAGTATGTGACTGCAATATATCATTTTGCCATGAGGAGTTCTCAAAAGAGCATATCATTTCCAATTTTCCAAAACTCTGGTGATTCCTCACGCTGTTTGTAAACTTCAGTCTTTATTCGTTCTGTAGGAAACTGTACAAGGTAGCAATTACTAACACAAAGGCTTGTGTCATCCTACCAGGCCCCCATTTCTCTCCTGGGTATGGAGCGGCAAATGTAGATCAATGCCTGGGATCGAATCCAAGACCTTCACATTTCAAGTCAAGTGCTTAGGCAACTCGATTACGAGACCTCTACAGTTGCGATTCGAAAAAAAATCAAAGTGGGACATCTTCTACAGGGTGCAGATAGGAGCAACCATCTTGACAGTTCATGCTCTATCGATGATAGAATGGGATCAAGTATAAAGAAGGGTACTACTCCATCATCCCCCAAACCAACCTGCTTACCCCCCCCCCCCCCCTCCCCTCCCCAATCAGACATGGAAACTATACACCATGTCAGTTATATGATAACTTATCAAATTCATTTGTGTTAACTCTATCATTTCAAAATCAGCTTCCCCCCCCCCCCCCCCCCCTTCAGATGATGAAAGCTTTACGTTTTGTATAACTCTTATGATAAGTAATTACTTTTCCTCATATGAATATTGTATCCAAATTGAATACTTTCAACATCGCAGTCTTCCATTAGTTTTTTACTATATATCAACTACTTCTCACTACTTTCTGACAACAGAACGCTATTCAAAATGATCGATAATTGCTCGTTTCAAATCCTCCTCTAAATCTATATGCAATTGCACGAGAGTTGAAAGTTCTTATTCTTATATCTTTATCAATAAAATATAGTTTGTTTTCTGAAAAGTGTGATGTCCTACAGGTCGTTACGACCCATAGCCAAACGTGTCAACCTGGTCATATAAACAGAAACAAGATCCCAACTGAAATCCCATTCACAGATGTCACAAAACATTGAATAGTGAACCAAAGTTTCTTTTCGTCTGAATGGGGATAATGATATACATGTAAATGACATGGAAAGAAGCAAGAAGTGACATTAATGTCATGTGGCCTCCAAGCGCAATACGAGATGCAGGTGAAGAGCTTGGAGATACAACCGGGTAGGTGAAGAGGGTTGGATGTAACAACTTGAAAGTTGAAGGACTTCCCTGGAGGAACTCCTCCAGGTTAATTCATATGATACCGGGATGGATCTTATACAGGCCTACAGACCTACATTCTTTGTATATCTCTACGCAAGTGTCGATCGATTATTCCAGACTCCCTAAACTTGTACAAGTATTTTGTATGTTAAGAACCAGAAGTCACCAACTCTTTGTAAGTTAGGTGGACATGTATGAGTCAGTGGCCTTCTGGCTCTTCAGAGACAATTTGATTTCCTTTTCCTACTGGTAGATTTAACTCAAAGATTCATCTTCACAACAGATCGTCTCAGTGAAATATATGCTTTGACCCATAGAATGCGCCACGGTTGGCTTGGAACCAGCCCATTTCACACAAAGTTAAATAAAAATATAAATACCATTACCATGGAAATACTGTGTGTGACAAAACATAGAACTAAGAATTCCAATGATATCATAGGAATATTTTAGGAACACTTTCATCAGTGACATCACTGCCAGGAAGATTTATTTCACAGACCAAATCAATCGAGATCTACCAGTAGAGTTTGGTTGGTAAGTTATGAATTTTATTTACGAGATTGACAAAACTTTGCCCTTCATTTAAAAAATATAACACATAGTTGTCGGTAAGACATGTGTTATACTAGACAGTTATTCTAGAAATGTCCATCACCTTTCATTGTTGTCCCATATGTACAAATTTGTGCTGTCTTTCATGGTTTTGACTTGCAATTTTTTTTAATTTTTTTTTTTACTCTTTTGCCAAAACCCACAAGAGGTTGAGCTCTACAAGCCAAAGACACCTTGTACCACATGACTCAATGATGATAAATAATGTGAAAATAGAGAAATGTAAACAATGAGAAAAACTGCAAAGGCAACATCCAAGAAATACGATTTCGATTCTTACGGATGCTTTCAGAGCTGTGAGGGCATCACGATAATGGGCCCAAGAGATGATTAACGCAGGTAAACAACGCTAAACACAA